GCTGAATGGGCAAATGTACCTCAACAAGACATTGACAATCTCATTTTGTCGATGCACGATAGATGTAGGGCCGTAATAAACCAGCGTGGAGGCCATACTTTGTACTGATTCCAATTTTTTTGGTATTATGATTTTTTTTCGGGGTGCCAAAGAAGAGCCATTTTTTTTTTAGTTTTGCTTATATGCGCACTCAGTATTTTTGACCATTTAATAAATTTTGTTGTAAGTTACATTCGTTTAATAATCACCCGTCAACTTTTTTCCCTAAAGCGATCTAAAGAAAATTATTGCCATTTTTAAAAATATCCCTAGACTTTTCCGATGTGTGTAGTTTATCTTGAGAAAAAAAAGGCTGAAAAGTTGCCCTTTTCTGAACTTTGAAGGGCCGTAACTTTGTAAATAAGGGAGAGCGCCGCTTTTTTCAAAATCGCCGGATGTCCTCGGAACGAATATTTACCCAGTCGAATTTCATTGATCATTTGCATTCGCAATGATCGTTTCCGGGCTATTACCTCACCTCCACCACTCCTGTCATCGTCGACGAAAGAATCCACCACCAGGAAAGTTGGAGCGTTCAGGACGCTCAGTTCGTCAGGATTCGTCGGCAAATACACCCCGCGGGAACACATCCTTCTGGAAATATCCTTCCTAAAAGCGATCACGCAACTATTCGACCGAGAACTTATTCAATAGAACGTTGGCACAAGTGACTCTGCGACCGAGACACTAAAACTAAATCGAGGATTGACTGGCGGTTTTACAATCCGTATAAAAATAACCGCGGACGAAAATAATTCGTCGAAAAGGGAGACTAGATCACGGAAATCGCAAGTGACAGTCTATTGTCATGTGACGAGGTGCGGCGTTAATTGGGGGGTCACGTGTGGTTGTTGGTAGACTAGAAATCAGCGCTACTGCTTGCATTTTAACATCCTAAAAGTTGTCTCGAAACCTGGATTTCAATAGTCTCGCGACTTCTAAAATCTAAGGTCAAAAGTCAGGAAAATCAATTTTTTGCGAATATCTTATTTCCTATGGGATTTTCGCTATTTGTATTCAGTATCAATAATGTAGAGAATTGAATTTCCTACAATTTTCGTTTCAAAAATTTTTGTATATGTTGAACCGTTTTTGAGATAGAAGGCGGAGAGCGCGCGGGTTAACCGCAACTGGTAGTCCCGGTCAAAAACACGCCATATGAAGTTTATTAATCATTGATGAATACATAATTATTATTGATTTTCACCCAAAACTTCAGGTTTTCAACTTCAAAACTGACGAAATTCAATACAATCCCCTATTTTTTCCCCTTGGGGCTTGGAAATTCCTGATTTCCTTTCTTAATGCTCATTTACGCTATACAAAGACCCTACCTGCATATTTCAAGATTATAGATTCAATAGCTTCGGCAGATATTCTAGAATGTGTATTGTGAAAAAAGGTCCCAATTTAATTGTATTATAGCTCAGTATTTTGCATACAGTGTGTAACAACGAAAACTTAACAGAGCCGTTTTTGAATATGAAAAGTAAGATTTTTAAAAAAAGCTCGGACACGTCGATTTCTAATTGAAGNTGCAGGAAAGCTCTGTCACTTGTGCACCTCCATGGAGGAAACCCCAAGAAGGTTGAAGAAGCCGCGCAATGACAGTAATATCGCCGCACCTTCCAAAACCTTCGCGGAGGCCACCGTAGGACACCTTAAGGTTGCCAAAGAGAGTGAGGATTCAGCGAGTCTTGGCCTACACCTGCCAATATAAAGGAGATGTCTTTTAGTGACATGTTCACTTCCCTGAAAAAACAGGATGGACAATAACCTAGGAGGATAACTCCTCAGGAGGATGTACAATGGGTCACATGTGGCCTAAGTGCTGTTTAAATCTGTCAAAAATCAGTTTGAAATATGTACTATTGTAAAAGATTAATGATGAATGTTTCGAAAACGGTTTGCATTGAATACCATACAGCTCAAAAATCACCATCAGATTGCTCAATATTATTAAATAACACTCTAATCAGTACATTGAAGTCTTTTATTTTGTTCGAGAAATTGCTGCACTCGCTACGCCCGTTTCACAAACTTTTTTACTTGCCAAATGACCACAACTCTGTCACCGAGTTGGAACCTGTTCAGCAAAAAGCTCAGATAAAAGCCACAGAGATCATCTTACTTCTGCGGTAACACAAGGATAAGCCAATGCATGGGGTCTTCTTCAATAACATTGGAGACCTTGGCTTATTTATGAGTGCCCGTTTTCCTTTGAAGCAGAATTGTTAATAAATAGTATTAACGTTTTATAATGAGAGATATTATCGGCGTGGCCGTCAGAGAGCGTCAAATATTTGAACAGCTATGTATGAGAGATGGATGTTGTTTAGGCTTATTCTAGGAACTATAAATTCGTTTTGCGAGGTTTCGGCATATAAATTAGGTATCAATGCTACCTAATCCGTGTGTAGCTCCAATCACAAATTTTCAAATGATAAACTTACCAACTGAAAAAAACGATATTGTATTTCGCTCTTTCAAAACTACATATTTCCTCTTAATTATTGTACAGGAACATTTTATACATTCAAATTATATTCCAAATACATTCAAAGTAAGCACAATTCGTATCTTTATATATAATAGAGTAGAATAGCGTTTATTTGCATATAAACATGATTTACAGATTATAATAATAATTGACTACAAGTAACAAATAAGCACAAAGATGTTCCACTGAAGTTGGCACTTGTAATAGTTTGATTCTAATGAAAGAGATTTGTTATCATTATAATATAAATATTCTAAATACAAACTGTTGAAATTGAATGATATAATTTACAAATTAAAATGTATTAACTATACAGACACACACTTGTTCACAAACTTAGATATACGTATACACTAAAACATAGAATCTCACAATGGTCTTATTATCAATTAGGATATTTTTATTTTTGTATAAAAACTTTTGGTTATATTCTCAGTAATTACGTTATTCTGAGATATGAGATTTTGACACAGTAATATAAATATGCTTGATATAAACTGATACAAATAATAGTAAAAATGTATTATCCATACAAAATGGTTTCTATACATACACACTAGTTCTGACTAAAACTATCGATCCTTCCACTTTGAGAGAGATATCTTTCAATGAAGAAAAGAGAAATGGAACTTTCTATGTTTTTTACCACTTTTATTTGTAACTAACGTTACTGCAGTTTCGTCCTATGCGGACATTTTCAAACTAACTGTATAAGTTCCATTCTACTTGGTTTCTGTCACCCCAAACTGATTTTTTCAGAGATTCATCGATATATAAAACCTTTTGTATTCGCTGAAGATGTGCATTAGTTATATGATTTTGAATTCACTGCTTTCACAAAACAATTTTCATTCATTTTTTAATGCATTCGAAATAAAATCATTATATTAATCACTCCAATCTATTAAGTATTATTTAGAATGACGTCTTGCATCTAACGGACATCTCAATGAAGAGAAGAAACTGAACAGCTTACAAAACTGCAATGGGAAAATGTGGGTATTTTCCAGACTACGCTTGAGGAAGCCATTTTGAAAAGTATCCAGCGGAAACTTCAGAATCAAGTGTTTCTTGAATAGGCTCACGAAGGGATCCCAGTGGTATTCCATTGTCCCAAGTTTTGCTTTTTTCCACTTTACCTAAATTTGCATGACCGGTAAAACTCCAGAGAACAATCTTTCATATGAAAATCAAAACTCGAAAACTATACATCCGTACACTTTTCAGGGGATGTTCATCGTATCTCTGCCATTTGCGGTCTTAAGGGGAGGTTACTGGGCTATTGTAGCTATGGTAGGCATCGCCTATATCTGCTGCTACACTGGAAAAATTCTCGTGGACTGCCTCTACGAATTCGACATCCAGACAGGAAAACAAGTGAGGGTGAGGGATTCCTACGTCTCCATAGCCAAGGAGTGTTTCGGAAAGAAATACGGAGCCAAGGTATATTTTTATCACATACGTTCAACTTTAGGCAAATGTTAACAGAGTTTTTAAATGTTTAAGGTCGTCAATGTCGCCCAAATCATCGAACTTCTCATGACCTGCATTCTGTATGTCGTTGTTTGCGGTGACCTGATGATTGGCACTTTTCCGGACGGCGTTATAGACACCAGGTCATGGATGATGTTGACCGGCATTCTACTAATACCCTTAGGTGAGAAATTAGCTGATATCCACATGCTAGAAGTTCTCTCTCGGTTTCTCTTTTATCTTCCAGGTTTCCTCAAGTCTTTGAAGAGTGTCAGCCTCTTGTCCTTTTGGTGCACCATGTCCCACATCTTCATCAATGCCATCATTATTGGTTACTGCCTCCTCTACATCGGAGACTGGGGCTGGAGCAAAGTGAAGTGGTCCATCGACATGGAAAACTTCCCCATAAGCTTGGGCGTCATTGTCTTTTCATATACGTCCCAAATTTTCCTGCCCACTCTAGAAGGCAACATGGAGGACCCTTCCAAATTCCAATGGATGCTAGACTGGTCACACGTGTGGGCTGCCGTCTTCAAAGCCTCCTTCGGCTACATCTGCTTCCTAACTTTCCAGAACGACACCCAGCAAGTCATCACCAATAACCTCCCTTCCGAGGGGTTCAAGGGACTCGTGAATATATGCCTGGTGGCGAAGGCTCTATTGAGCTACCCGCTTCCGTATTACGCTGCTTGCGAACTGCTAGAAAGAGCCTTCTTCAGGGGCAGGCCCAAGACACCATTCCCTACGATTTGGGCTCTGGACGGTGATCTCAAGGTTTGGGGACTGGCTTGGCGTATTGGGGTTGTAGTTTTCACGGTCCTGATGGCTTGTTTCATCCCACACTTCTCCATTCTCATGGGGTTCATCGGCAGCTTCACGGGTACCATGCTGAGCTTCATTTGGCCTTGCTACTTCCACCTCAAGCTGAAAAGGAACGGTATGGATACCAGGACCATCGCGCTAGATTACTTCATCATTTTTTTGGGTTTTCTGTTTGGGATCATAGGGATTTTCGATTCTGGTAATGCTTTGATCAAAGCGTTTTCAATCGGGCTTCCATTCTAAAGTAGTGTTAAGAATTGTTATTGCGCAAAGGGGTTACAATAAGGTTGAGCGGGGAAGGAGGTCAGTTTTCCAACTGTTTTGGAATATTTTATTGAATGAGACATGCCCGCTCAATTTTCCTTACTTGTTCAATAATTAGTAGCTTACAAATATCGTCTGTTGAAGTTGAAACATTCTTTGTGGGTTCACAAAGGGTATTATAATAAGGTTCGTCTAAAGTGACCAACGAAGTCTTCCAAATAGTATTAAAAAAACAAAGCAATCTGTGTCAGTCTTTAAATCTTCGAAGATGATTCAAAAAGTCTTCAAACTTATTGGTGAGCTGTTTACTATAATATTCCCAGTAATTTTGACAGACATTTCTATTCATAATGCTGTGTAACATTCCAGGCGCATTTTGCATGCCAAAGGGTATTCGTGACAATAAATGTAGCATACCGTCGCACAAGTTAATCTGCGGTTTCATTTATGTCATACTAGTACCACTTAGTTTACTTACTACATAAAGAAACTAAAAAGTAGTTTCTGTTATCTCAATAATATGTATTAATGAAATTGTAAAACATGAAATTGAAAGTATATATCGGTCATATATATCTACTCAAAATAATTTGGTCGATTTTTATGAAACTGACAGTTCTGGAATAATCCAGTGACAGTTAGGTTGCATACAACCAACGTCGTTGATTCATTTTTCATTGTCTGGTTATCAGGGTTCTTTGAGATAATGCAAGCTGAAGGCGTGTCTACTAACATCCTTGATTTTTTTTAAAATATCCTCAACATATTTTTTAAATATTCTTCAGCAACCGACGTATACTTCCATCCACCATCTCTAGTAGAGAGGAGTTGCCAATATTTGACGCAGACAGTATAATGAAAATAATAATAAATTTTATTCCCGATGTCAAGCTAATAACAATTTCATAGAACGAAGAAGGATTCACAAAGGGATAAACTCTCTGTGCTTGATCACCAAATTTCCCAAACTGTAATTTCGTATGAAATGTGGGGTTGAAGGAGCGTTTTATGAAGAATTTCTAAATATCTGATGTCAAGTATGTTCTTCAGAAATTTGAAAGTAGGTACTTCTTAGGGATCTCATTTTCTCTTCTATGTTGCCGAGGTATTTCACTTCAATTCTTAACAAGTATATTGGATCCAAGCGATGCAGATATTTTGCAATGACGATCGTGATTTTTTTTAATGTTTTTCTCAACGGGTGGTAGAGTACAGCGACCTTTTCGTTCAATATCCGGTTTCAAATTGTTTATTTCGCTTTTGTCGATAATGGTGAAAACGAGCTCTTAATCAGTACCTATTTGTCTTTAGTACAAGAAAGGAGTTTCTGTCTTCTACGTAGGTGATTAGCATATTGACAAGCATTTCTTAAGCCACAATTGTAACCCAACTATTGAAATCGTTTTAAAGTTAATTTAGATTTTCGGATTTTTCAAAATATTTACATAACTATATCGTGAATGCAATAAAGGACTAGTATGACATAAAAATATGTATGCACCGCGGGTATTACTAAATATATCTACTAAATACCCTTGGTACATAAATAACTATTATTTTTCGGAAAAACCTTTTATAGTGAATTCCAATGATTCGGAACAGTGATTCTTAGAATATCCACACACTTATTTATATTAAAATGAATATTTGTCAATGAAACCAAGTCTTCCATAAGTGTGCTGAAATATTAAATCAATGTCTTCCAAAGCTGTTTACAATTTACTGTGTTTGATTGTGTATATTGTGGAAATGATAATAATAAGGTTAGATATTGTAGGTTTATATTTACATTTCAAGGTGACCGATAACTATCGCGTGAATCGTTTTTGTTGCGTTGATCGTGATATACAAACTTAGAAACAGCCTCTAAAACAAATTCCCAAACTGCTTCCATTAGTCTTCCTATACCATAGCGGGCTTTGAACAGAAGCAAGTGCTATTTTTTCACCAAAAACGATTCACAGGTGTTTCGAACCTTTTACAGGATTTTTATGTAAAAGTGTATACATACGACTAAAACGTAGGAACTTTTTGAAATGCATATTTTACCACAAAGTGTGATTTTACAGGGTGTCAGGTCCTGTGAGAACATGCTGTGTAACTGTAAACATTGTTGAACCTTGTTGATATAAATGTAGTTTGAAATATTCAGATGCAGTAGATAGTTTATGAGTCTGATGCCAAAGTAAGTGTTATTTGATAAATATATTTGAAATCATTTATTTATTTATTGTTTGAAATGGAAGCTGTCCCATTTTGGAATCGATTTTGTGATGCTAAAACGTGTTTATAATCGAGCAACACATTATTGTGAGATTTTCACTGAACAGTACCTATATAAAACATTGACATGTGTTTCAGTATACAATAACTTCTTCAGGCAGCTTCACGTTTGTATAGTGTAACATGTGTTGAAGATTCGTGGATTTTTAAAACGTATCGGCCAGTTTCATGACATCATAAAAGATGCGTTATTCTCATGTCAAATGAAAAATCAATGATGATACTAGAATGGAACACATAGTACTACCAGTTTCCTTCATTTCAAATGATCTATATGTACACATGTACAAACAAAATTTTTAATAAATACAGGACATTTTGATTAGATATGACGACTCGATATCTTCCAATGACGTCACAGCACAACATCGATTGAAAAATGGGGGTATGCTCATTGTGAAATATGGAATCCAATTGGAATCAAATATTGTTGAAAAATATTTGATTCCAATTGGATAATTTCAATTCTATGAAAGTTATTTCAATTTATGATTTAACCTAGTTATCTATATGCGAAGATTGTAAAAAATGTGTAAAATAAATGTAGTATGACTTATGATTTCTTTTAATTTCATTTAAACACAACTTTATTGAATATTCTCAAGATATAGGTATGAATGTATGTATAGATGATTGATTGTACAACACAAGTCAGGAGACATACACATCAATGAACGTCAATACGGTAAATTTTTTCTATTTATACATTGATTAAATCGTTATATTTTGTTGAAACTTTTTAAATTTTAATGGCCAGCATATGTGATTCAACATGTTGTTATAATACCCAGACAACAGTGCTTTGTGATGATACCTGACCATGAGATTGCATAGAACTATTATAAACAGAATGACAATGACATTTGGAAACAATTTTTGTGGTTGCGACACATTACTGCAAGTTGTCATCATATGCATGACTGCCAACTTAAAATAGAAACTTCGACTATATTGAATATTGTTGATAGTAATATAGCTATACTTTTGTTATTTCAAAAAGGGATGAAATGTGTACTGTGTTATTTGATATTGAAGAATTCTGATGATTTTTATCTATTAATGAAAGAAAAACGTACACAAATATATATTGTCCTTACCAACTGTTATATAAAAGACATTGTAAATGAGTTTGTTGATGTACAAGTAAATGATAATCATTATCATGGATTATATAAATACATGAATAAATATATTATATATACATATAGTAAAAATGAAACACTTGATTCGTTCGCCATATTCTACTGTGTGGAAATTTCTTCTCAACAGTAATCAGATTAATTTGATTTTTAATACACTTCTCTACTTGGAACTTCGTTCACAATACAAAACCATTAGTACTTCATTGCCTTTAATACAGACTCTGTTTCAGTCAGATTTCATATATAAGTTAGAACATCAATTAATTCAGTAGAGTCCCAAACAGCACTGCTCTCTTGGGTAGAACTGTCCTGCAGTGACGAGGATCAATACTCTGAAACCAGTGTCAGTTGATTGTTGCGAGTTCTTATCATGGATCAAAATAGAACCATCCATGACAAGAAACTACATTAGGAATGGTGAATGTTTTGTATTTAAATTAGAATTCTTCGGCATGTTTTCTTCTGTGAACACTAAAAGTACCTGGATATTTGAAAGACTCGGAACAGGTTTCACAGTGAAATCTTTTTTTCGTTCGAATGGAATCTGCGATGATGAACTTTTATACTTGATTTGAATTTGAAGAATTTCTGGCATATTTCACATTGGAATCTTTCCTTCGTATGAATCTTCTGATGGCCTTTCAAGCCTTCGTTATGCTTGAATGATTTGGAGCAGACGTCACATTGGAATAATTTTTCTTCGTCATGAGTCTTTCGATGGTATATCAAACCTCGGTTGTATTTGAATGATTTGGAGCAGATGTTACAACAGAATTTTTTGTCTGTTCGATGAACCTCCTTGTGGCTTCTCAAATAACTTTTTTCTCTGAAAGATTTTGAACAAATTTCACAAGAAAATAGTTTCTCTTGTTCTTTATTGTGGCGTTTTTCGTGTTGCCTCAAATGCCAGCTCTGGTTGAAAGATCTTGAACAATCTGAGCAGCTGAATGGTTTCTCTCCTGTATGGATTCTTTCGTGTTTTATCAAGGCACATTTGTGGCTGAAGGATTTTGGGCAAAATTTACAATCAAATGGTTTCTCTCCTGTATGGACTCTCATATGCTCCTTCAAGTGACACTTATTTCTGAAATATTTTGAACAAATTACACAGAACGGCTCTTTCTTCTCAAGTTCTGTGGGGGAATTTTCAGATGATGTTTTCTCTTCTTTGTGCATATATTGTAGATGGAGTTTCAGAGACTTCTTGTGTTTGAAATATTTCGAACAGATTTCACACTGGAAAGGTAGTTCGCTTTTGTGACTCATCATATGAGTTTGCAAGAGATGCCTATTCATGAGGACTTTTTTGCAAATTTCACATGTAACTGTTGCTTCCCCCGCGTGAAACCTCCTGTGAGCTTCCACGGTTTTCTTATACTTGTAATACTTTGAACAGATTTCACAATAAAACGGTTTTTCCTCTGAATGTTTTTTCATGTGTACCTTCAAATTCCACTTGTTTTTAAAAACTTTTTCACATATTTTGCAAGTTCTTTCACTCAGATGTACTGTCAATGAGCTTTCTTCAGAAGTAACTTCTCCCTCAGATATCGATTCTTCTTTAATTTCGGAAACTGCAATGAAAAAATAATTTACACCAACAATTCAAGAAAATTGATGAAATATTACCTGCAGTGATGCCACATTCTTGAACTAGATCCTCAAAGTTTACGTAATCCGGCTTCAATTCCCTCTGCTCTTGGCAAATACAAAGAAACTCATCAGTTGCATTAGTAAAGTCTGCTTCATTATTTAACTTTCCATTGCACACCCCGCAAAGATCAGATTGAACTAAACTGTGTTCACCAATTTCCATTTTCAAATTATCAAGGTGGAAGTCGACGTCTTCTCTTCCTTCTTTAATTGGTTTCCCATCGGAATTATTTTCCAGATTCTCCATGATGTTTTCAATGCAAGAAGTTATTTCATTATGTTCAGGTGCATTCAACTTTGCAATTTCGTCAGTTTCAGAAGCTTCGCTGGAATCGAAACAGATGATTTCCTGTTTGATTTGGCTCGTTTCAATTTTCTTTAAATGCATTATGAAATTCGTGATATTTTAGGCGAAACAAATTTCTAACAAAAATAACCAACTGTTACATTCAAATATAACATAACCCCAAATAATACCTCAGATGTGCTCGGAACTCTTTCATCGTTGACAGTGACATACATGACATAAATCACGGAACTAATGTTGTAGTTTATGTATGTTCAACTATATCACTAAATAGGTCGCTTCCTACTGGCTGTCCCTAGGTACGCTTAGATCTTAATACTACACTACACAACACCCTACGAGATAGATCAAAACATTCACTACAGTATTGTGAACTTTTGAAAAGATCTACAAGAAAGTCAGCGATGTTATATGTCTATCTTTTAGGAATAAGCCACAGTAACCATTTTTTATTATTGGATTATACATCAAATGATTCTAAGCAATACAGCATTTATCCCTATCCAATTAGGTGCTTTAAATACATTAAGAATTTAATATAGATCAACATGGCCTTTTACAGCATGTGATTTTAATTCATTTTTCGAAGATATTACACATTTGAAATGCAGATACATATCGGTTGCGGCGGTACCAGCCGGGAGCCGACGGCGCGTGCTCATAAAAGCGCGCCCTCCGCCTTATAGCACCTCATGATTAGCAGCGATCGCACGCGTTTATATAATAGTAATAATCTGTTTTATTCATCGAATAATTACAAATTAAACAGAATGGAACATTCTATGAAAGCCGAAGGATCAGCTTTGCATCCATGCGGAGCCGGGGCTGCTCGCTAGTACGAATACTCTTCCTTACTTCATATAGATACTTTACTCTTCCTTATTTATATAGATGATATAGTAGGAGAAGCTGGAATGTGTGAAATCCACTTATTTGCAGATGACACCCTCATCACGCAATCGATGCGTACACTTATTCAAAACCTCAGAGTACTGAGATGAAGTTTTTTTTAAAAACTGAAGATTTTTGGTAGACAGCAATGATATAGCTCAAATATTAATTAACAAATGTTGTGACAGACGACATAGAACGACAGAACACAATATTACATTGAAATGTACGCGGAAGAATAAGAATGCGCAAAAAATCAAAACATTAACAATAAGAAGTTGACCCCTTCTTGATATTAATATTATTTTATTTTGATTTGTGCGGCATGGCATGAAATGTGGAAAAGCAATATGTGACAATATTAATGCTAATTTAGGCTGTCAGCAAAACTCCATGACAGATAACTGTCACTTCGGACAAAACAGTAATATTTGGTGACAAACTTCTCATCAAACTGAGAGTACTTTATTCAAAATGGGAAAGTACTAATGTTTTAATGCCATTTTCAAGTTCTAAATAGTAAAAATTCATAGGAAATGATACTATATGTATTTTCACAAGAAAATTCCTTAGGATCAAAAAAGTTGAAGTTTCTTTGAAAATGCTTCTTCCCTTGAATGAGTTTTGAGATGGGCTCTCATACTCATTTTGTGTTTGATTAACTTGTGGCATATTTCACACTGAAATCTTTCCTCTGCATGAACATTTCGATGTATTCTCAGAGTTTCTTTGAGTTTGAATGATTTTGAGCAGATGTCACACTGGAATAACTTCTCCTCCACATGAATCTTCCGATGGGCTCTCAAAGCAATGACATGTTTGAATGATTTTGAGCAAATATCACACTGGAATAGTTTTTCTGTTCTATGATTCATCTCGTGTCTTGTCAAGAATCTTTTCTCTCTGAAAGATTTTGAACACACCCCACAAGAAAATGATTTATCTTCTTCTACATTATGTTTTTTTGCGTGTTCCTTCAAATACAAGCTCTGGGCGAAAGATTTTAAACAAACCGTGCAACTGAATGGTTTCTCTTCTGTATGGGTTCTCTCGTGTTTTTTCAAAGCACACTTGAAACTGAACGATTTTGAGCAGATACTGCAATTGAATGGTTTCTCTCCTGTATGGACTCTCATATGATCCTTCAAATGACCATTGTTTTTGAAGCGTTTGGAACAAATTTCACAAAACAACCCTTTTTTAGATTGAGCTGTCTCAAGACGTGACGAAGTTTCAGATGATATTTCATCTATCTCATGAATTAATTCCACGTGGTCTCTCAGAGTCCTATTGCTTTTAAAATATTTGGAACAGAATTGGCACTGGAATGTTTTTCCAACTTTGTGGCTCTTCATATGATCATTCAAATTGTAAATATGTATAAAGATTTTATTGCAAATTTCACAAGCGACTGACATCTCTCCTGCATGGAATTTCTTATGAAAATCCACGGTTTTCTTATGCTTGAAATATTTTGAACAGACATCGCAGTAATATGGTTTTTCTTCTGAATGACTTTTCATATGCAAATTCAACCTGTAGTTGCTATCGAAAACTTTTCCACAAGTTTTGCAATTGAATGATGATTCTTTTGAATGAAGACTTTCATGAAGTTTCAAGGTTGTCTCTTGTTTGAAATATCTTGTACATATTTTACAAAAAAACTTTTTTTCCTCTGCATGTTTCTTCATATGCATATTCAAATTCCACTCGTTTTCAAGAACTTTTTTACATATTTTGCAAGTCGTTTCACTTTCGCATACTGCTAATGAGGTTTTTTCACAGGTAACTTCCCCCTCAGATGTTGATTCATCTCTCATTTTAGAATCTGCAATGAAAACAATAATTATAAGTTACCATACATTTACTGACATTATTGTCAAATTACATTACAACACAATTTATTATTTTGACAAATCAAAGTGAGCACGAAAACATAAATAATAACAACAATATTATACATAGCCAATATATACTTTGACGGTATGAAAACTCTTTTCAAATGAGAATTTTTGATAGTTGATTTCAAACTTATGAAATCAAAAGATTCAGCAAATATGAATTCAAATCAGTCTTTAATAATAATAAAATCTGATGTTGGTCACCCAAAAGACAAGATGTTGGAAAGTAAAAAGTTGAGATATATAAAATAAGCTGTGAAGACTGTGGCAAAACTACATCGGTCAGACTAAGTGATCTATTAAAAGAGTTTTTAAAGAACACAGAGCACATATGTCGTTTCAGCGAGCAAAAAAATCTGAATAAGCATGGTTGTTGTAGTGTTTCGTAGGACTGACCATCTTGCAGAAAAATTACACTAGTGTTTCCTTACTATTGATAATAACATAATAATGTTTACTAAATCATTCAAGATCACAAAAAATTATAAAGGATATGTAATATAGGAAATAGAATACATGTGTGAAACTTTTTACTGTTGCATTACCTGCATTAAGGCCACATTCTTGAACTAGATCCTCACAATTTACATATTCAGGTTTCGATTGCTGCTCCTCTTGGCAAAAGCAATAAAAACCATCAATTGTATAATGAGTGGGGACTGTTTTACTAATAAATTTTCCATTGCATACATCACAAATGTCAGATTTTACAAAACCATCTTCAAAATTTTCCTTTGTCAAACTTTCAAGGAGAACATCTTCCTTATCCTGTTTTATCGAATCCATACCGCATACATTATCCAGATTATTCATGCACTTTTGCTTCTGAGAACTTTGATCCAAACTGTTTGTTTTGATAGAAGAAATGTTATTTGGTTCAATAGTACTAAACTTTCTAATATCGTTCTTTTCAGAAGCTTCAGAGAATTCATTACATACAATTTCTAGTTTAATTTGGCTAATTTCAAATTCTTTTGTATCCATTATAAAATTTATATATTAGCGAAACGAAAAAATCCTAGAGATATATCAACAAAAACATGACATAACCTCTTTCATTAATGACATTGACCATGGACGTGAAATAAAAATTTGTTATGTCCATGACAAAGACAATTACGAATTTTGGAATTATATATCTCTGTGACTTTTGATTCTCGCCATAAGAGGACGCTGAGGGGCTTGAGGTCAGCTGTCGTGGTTCTGTGAATGAATTGTTTTTTGCGTCCGATATGAAATTCGGCAAGAATATGTTTATAAAAAATTATGAGAAATGAGAAGTAAAACTCTCATGTTTTTAAACCACTTGTATTTGTAACTATACCTCATTTTTCGTAGATATTTTATGATGAGCATCAATTTTTATGAACTCTGTGCTAAAAAATAAAAATGGATAATTTCTTTTCTTTTCCATATATTGAGCTCCATTCATATGATGTCAAACAAACAAACTAATAATTACAAAATATATTTTCTTTTTCAAGTCATTTACATATGATCGAAAGTTTGAAATTTGGGTCATATAAAGCTAACAAAACATCATAATTCAAGTAGATCGATTGCAGAGAGTAATTTTGTTCGCCTGTAGATAGATCGGAGCCACACTTTATGAGTGCCCGTTTTCCTTTGGAGCAGAATTCTTAATAAATAGTATTAACGTTTTATAATGAGGGATATTATCGGCGTGGCCGTCAGAGAGCGTCAAATATTTGAACAGCTATGTATGAGAGATGGATGTTGTTTAGGCTTGTTCTAGGAACTATAAGTTCGTTTTGCGAGGTTTCGGCATATAAATTAGGTATCAATGCTACCTAATCCGTGTGTAGCTCCAATCACAAATTTTCAAATGATAAACATATCCTTGCCAAATGGCACAATTTCCATTTCCATAGATTCAAAAATGTTACAAGTACCTATACCATTCATAACCACCTATTAGGATACATAAGAAATCAGCTCTGACTAGGCCCTAATATCGCTGATCTCAAACCTGCCTTCCTAATAAGATTTCTCAACTCCTTGTCGCATAATTCAAATAAATTCATTTTATCCATATGTAAATAACGAATTAACCACGAGAACTGTCCTCACTTCCCTCAGATTCAACGCCCTCTTACGGCAAGAACTTTCGTGGTTGTCCTCATTGACAGTTGAAAGGTAAATTACAATTAAAAAAAACGGTCAAATGAAACTAATAATAAATGATAGATGAAAAGTGAACAATGTCAAATACGGTTAGAAGCAGTGCTGCTGTTAAGGTACTATTGTACCGCATTCGGTACTATTCCATGATTTTGATACGAAGGTATTACCTGGATCAATATGTAGATTATTCGGTACTATTTACTGTGATCTCAATTTTTTTACATTTTCACGTTGACTCCCATCGAGTACAATAAAAAAATAACAACAATGTGTGTGGCAACAATGCAATGGGGAATGTTCTTCTTGACGAAAATCAAGTATTTTTCATAAAAGAGCTTCAAAACAACGCATTCGTTCCTACTTGTGTCAAAATTGCGAGCTGTCAACATAACGCTGCATTTTTCAATTTTTTGTTAGGTTTGTGAACTCAGTGAACTGTGGTTCTGTCATCTGTCAGTCAGTCAGCAGAACAGCTTAGAAGTACATCAGCCACATCACAGAAGACTAAATGATTCTTCTATGGAAACAGTGAAAAAGCTGAAATAATTTGTAAATAGGTCTTCTCTCTTAAAATGTGCGCTTTTTGTCATTTTCAAGGTGAAATAAAAAAAAGAAAGATTTGTTGAAAATTGATATGCATTTTATTTAAAAGAAAATTCTGCAGGAACCTATTGAAAAATCTCACTTCTCTCACGTTGAATCGTGAAGTTCCTCAACAACTGTTTTTTCTTTCGAATGAGCCCTGAGATGAGCTTTTAAACTAGTTCTATGTTTGATCAACTTGTGGCATATTTCACACTGAAACCTTTCCTCTGTATGCATATTCTGATGCATTCTCAAGGCTTCTTTGTGTTTGAATGATTTTGAGCAGATGTCGCATTGGAATAATTTTTCTTCCACATGATTCTTCTGATGAACTCTCAACGCAATATCGTGTTTGAATGATTTCGAGCAGACGCCACAATGAAATAGTTTTTCTGTTCTATGAATCATCTCATGCCTTGTCAATAATCTTTTTTCTCTGAAAGATTTCGAACACACTCTACAACAAAATGATTTATCTTGTTCTATATCATGTTTTTTTGCATGTTCCTTCAAATACATGCTCTGGGAGAAAGATTTCAAACAAACTGTGCAACTGAATGGCTTCTCTTCTGTGTGAGTTCTCTCGTGTTTTTTCAAAGCACACTTGTAACTGAACGATTTTGGGCAAAAACTACAAATGAATGGTTTCTCTCCTGTATGGACTCTCATATGCTCCTTCAAATGACCATTGTTTTTGAAGCGTTTGGAACAAATTTCACAAAATAGCCCTTTTCTGGATTGAGCTGCCTCAAGATGGATCGATGAAGTTTCACATGATGTTTTCTCTTTCTCATGCAATAATTCCATATGGTCTCTCAAAGTTCTCTTATATTTGAAATATTTAGAACACAATTGGCACTGAAATGGTTTTTCAACTTTGTGACTTTTCATATGATCTCTTAAATTGTAAATATTTATAAATACTTTATTGCAGATTTCACAAGAAACCGATGTTTCTCCTGCATGAAATCTCCTGTGAAAATCCATGGTTTTTTTGAGTTTGAAATACTTTGAACAGACTTCGCAATAGAATGGCTTTTCTTCCGAATGACTTCTCATATGCAACTTCAAACTATAGTTGCTGTCGAAAACTTTTTTACAGATCTTGCAAGTGAATAACGTATCTTCTAAATGCAGACTTTCATGAAGTTTCAAGGAGGTCTCTTGTTTGAAATACCTTGAACAGAATCGACAAAAAAAAGATTTTTCCTCTGAATGACTCCTCATATGCTCCTTTAAATTCTGCTTGTGTTCAAAAACTTTTTCACATATTTTGCAAGTCCTTTCACTCTTGCATACTGCCAATGAGGTTTTTTCACAGGTTACTTCCTCCCCAAACTTTGGTTCACCTTTTATTTTGGAAACTGCAATTCCATGTTGAACGTGGCCGCACCGTCACCGTCAAAAAGTAAACTGAGCTAGCCTGTGACGGTGCGGGCTCTCTGCGGTCTCCGAGCACGGCCGCGGTGCTGGCGCGGTGCGGAGATATGTGTCCCTACAGTTAAAATACCTTATTTTTCTTTCTTGCCGTAGCACGTCCAACACTCGGCCGTGTGTTGGTGCGGGCTCGGTGCGGTTATGTATGTCCCGACCTTAAAGGGTTCGAGAATTATCTCACAGGAAGAAGTCAGATTGTGAAAACCTCATCATCCTCATCATCGGAAGGCGAAATTAAAAATGGCCTACCACAAGGATCAATACTGTGACTGATACTTTTCTTGTTATACATAAACAATATAACATCTATTGATATAGAAGGAAACTTTACTTTATTCGCAGAAAAAAGGGAAAATTAAGTAGCAAGTCACAGTCAATGAATAGCGGCAATTTACTAGTCAATGTTGAAAAACACACAGGAAAATGTTTATGAATGGACAATCTGAGAAGAGAATTGAAAATCTGCTTCCAGAAAGCAAGGATCGGCTTAGAATGGTTTCAGGGCACTGTCCATTGGAAGGCCATTTGAACAAAGGTGAATGGATAGCTCATTATAATATTTTCAAAATATTACCTGCATTAGGGCCACATTCTTGGACTAGATCCTCACAATTTATATATTCTGGTTTCGATTCCTGTTCTTCTTGGCAAAAGCAACTGAAGCCATCAATTGTATAATTAGTGGCGTCTGTTTTAGTATTTAATTTTCCGTTACACACATCACAAATTTCAGATTTCACCGAGGTATTTTCATCATTTTCGGTTTTTAAACTTTCAAGGTAAACATCAACTTCTTCCTCATCTTCTTTTATCAGTTTCCTACCGCATACATTTTCCTGATTCTCGGTGCAGGTTTCATCATTCTGCTTTTGAAAACTTTGATCCAAACATTTTGTGTCACTAGTAGAATCTACTTCATTTTGTCCAATTTCCTCTGTTCCAAAGGCTTCGGTTAAATCGTTATAGACGACTTCCTGTTTGATTTTGCTCATTTCGAATTCCCCTAAATCCATTATAAAATCCTTTATATTTTAGACGGACACAAAAAATCTTCAAGAGAAATAATAACAATTACATATGACATATAACATAACCTCCAGTGACAGTGACATTACATGACATAAAACACCAAAGAGTACACCAATTACTTAAAACACGGAGCAAGATTAAGATGTGTTCCGAGATGTTTTAACCCACAAGTTAAATTGAGGGACGTATAGTACTGATGCTTTTAACTTGATCCTGAATCACTCATATTTATTCAAATCGAAAAAAAAGTGACAACAAATTTCCACCAATTCACTTGTAGAATTACCATTATAACAGTGAACAAAATACATACTTTTAATGTATTCAAAAGAAGGCCAAACATGGAACGGGAGCTGGAATATACCAAGCGGATAGAAACTTACACTACAGCTGTCCGCTAGGACTATACACATCCGTCTTTCAGGCGGAAGTGTATTCTATTTTGGAGTGTGCAAGGCTTATTAAATTGAGACCTCAAAGAAATGAGCGGATCAATATTTTTACAAACAACAAGAGCGCACTAGGGGTTCTGACAATCCCTAAGGTGATATCAAAACTGGTCTGGGAATGCCATATAGAACTGAATGAACTTGCAAACAGGAACAAATTAACTTTGTACTGGGTGCCAGGGCATTCAGGAATCACAGGTAATGATAGAGCTGATGAATGCGTTAGACGCGGATCATCAATTTCATATATAGGTCCTGAACCAGCTCTGGAGGTACCAAAATCATTGGTACGAAACCAGATTAGGACATGGACCAATAAGAAGCATACAGAGTACTGGACAAAAGTACCTGGCAAAAAGCAAACTTCGTGTATTTTGCATTTCAATTATTATTGTGTATTGTGACATTTAACGACATCTAGTAGCGAGTAGTGGTACTATGTACTATGATCCACAACTACAAAGTATTGTTGGTGGAAAATCACAATTACATAAATCTCATTAGTGTTTTTGTTTTACTGTGATTCATTTCAATTATTTGTTAGTTATTAATATGCTGAAACTTAGATACTTAAGTTAAGTTTTCTTTGTCATCATTTCTGTCGTTAAGTTTTACCTTGCAAGTGAATAAAACCGAGTAATTATCATTCTGTGTTTTCTTCTTCAACTTATCACAGCAATAGTAACAACAATTAGGTAATCATTGGCTGTTGCGGGCCAGATTGATGTCAGTAAATCATTGGCTGGCGCGGGCCGTAGTTTGGAGACCCCTGGTTTAGAATATAGCGTTGTAAATTATCGCCTGAAAAAAGTAACGCCGATCGCCGCAAATCGATTGTGATTTAGCCAAGATCGCGCTCACCTAGACTTGCGCTTCGCGATTGTTCTAGATGTCACGTCGGTTTCGAGAAACTTCAATTAACATATATAAACACTACCAACACGCAGATCGATAGACATTTGAAGCTTCAGTTAAAGTGTTGGTGTTGTGTTTTAAGTGTAGCAGTGAAATTAACTCGAGTTTAATAGTACATTGTAGTCAATTAGCAAACCAACGGAAAAACTTAACAATAGCAATGTTACCACATTACAAAAAAGAAGTGACCTGTATATTCAGATTATTTAAATGTCTTGTTTGTTTGAGAGGGATTCTGTTTCGTGGATCTTCTCACAAATGTCTTGAAAAGATAGTACTGTAAACATTAAATAATCTTAGGATGGTCGGGACTTGGAAATAAAATAAAATCATTATATTTTTGACAACTGTATTTTTGACTTGCACATGTATTAGAAAAGATAAAAACTTTTTCAACACAATGCAAAGAACATTAACAAATGAAATATACATATAAACATACACAGCACAAACACATTCAAATGTTGAAGGTATAAAATAAATAGAGCACAATGTAAAAATGAAATACAAAGACAATGTAAATATGTACTGAATAAAACAAATCGTATTCATAGGAAATAGATATAAAGGGAACTGTAAATTGTGGCAGTAATTGTTGAAATCGATGATTCCCAAAAATGTAGTTTGATTGTAGTAATATAGATATCAAAATTCAAAGTCAAACGTTCCTTGATTTAATTTTCTGTACAATTGAAAAAAAAAGTATTGAATTCTCCTGAGCAGCAGATTAGTGGTAATTCTGATCGACTGTTGATTTTTCAAACTGACACTACATCAGTTCAGGATAGATTGAAAACAATTTGTGTTCAACTATCTGCCAGAGTGTACTTTATAAGATCAAAGTTAGGCTCCGTTTTCCATGACACATCGTCTTGGATGAAGTCCTATAAGAATGGTCGTAGTATGACGGTTAAAACAGTATCATGTCCAAGGAACAGAAAGTAACTTTGGGAGTTACTCAGGAATCAGTACTAGGACCCTTATTTTTTGTGAACGGTCTCTCAGAACATATTTATATATAACGTATTAGTCAGCATAATGGTACCACACCGAAAGTTGAGCTACCAAAGATCTATACATACAAAATATTTTATACCTCTCAATCTATTTAAACAGCAAATATCAGAAAGAAAGAAATACCAGGGCAAGTTGAAGAAATACAACCTAAAAATTTCTAGGAGGTAATTTATCAGACAAATCTACATTTCAGAACAACTCAATTATAAAAATTTTGATCTAATATTGAATAGAATATTGAACGTGAAAAAACACAATTAGAGATTGATGAGGACTGTATTCTGTTGTCATATTTGTGTTTTACATATTTACAATTAATCATAGTTAATAAAGGTTATTATCAACATAAAAATTTTTTGATTCATATAAAATCCAATCTCTCAAATAGGTACATTATTTTTCTAAGTGAATGCTTCTAAAAAAAATTTTTGCGCCTTTTCTAGTAAGGTAAGTAAGAGGAAGATCTTCCTCTTGAAGGTGATTGAGAGAAAAATGTATTGATTGAACGACTCAATTATTATTCCAAAAAATGAAATTGTTTTATGATGAATAATCAATTAATAATTGACTCAGTTAAAAATAAATCTTTCGAAAAGTAATATTTCATGTTTATTTTACATTTACGCATCAATAGAGATTTGTAGAAATGTCAAATTTTTTTGACAGTTGTACAAAAAAGACTTTTATTGTTAATTGGTATGATTTTTTTATATTTTGAATGAAAGTCTTTGAACAAACTTTAAACTGAAACTGTTTTTCCCAGTATGAGTATTTTCATTGTGTTCATGATGATAATTTTTAGCGATTGGTTATTGGGCTGATTTCACATTGGAATGGTTTTTTCTCGGAATGAGTGTTTTCATGCGCTATCAAAAAACTATTCCATATGAACGTTTTTAAGCAGTATGAGATTTTTCATGCCGTTTCATATTGTGATTTTGAGCGAATGTCTTTGAACATATTTTACACTGAAATGGTTTTTCACCAGTGTGAGATTTCTCATGGAGTTTCAAATGATCATTTCGAGTGAATTTCTTTGAACAGATTTCACATTGAAATGTTTTCAATCCTGCATGAATTTTTTCATGGCGTTTCAAACTAGAGATTTGAGTGAATGTCTTTGAACATATTTTACACTGAAATGGTTTTTCACCAGTGTGAGATTTCTCATGGAGTTTCATTTGATCATTTCGAGTGAATTTCTTTGAACATATTTCACATTGAAATGTTTTTAATTCTGCATGAATTTTTTCATGGCGTTTCAAATTATGGTTTTGAGTGAATGTCTTTGAACATATTTTACACTGAATTGTTTTTAATTCTGCATGAATTTTTTCATGGCGTTTCAAACTAAAGTTTTGAGTGAATGTCTTTGAACATATTTTACACTGAAATGGTTTTCCACCAGTGTGAGATTTCTCATGGAGTTTCAAATGATCATTACGAGTGAATTTCTTTGAACAGATTTCACATTGAAATGTTTTTAATTCTGCATGAATTTTTTTATGGCGTTTCAAATTACCATTTTGAGTGAATTTCTTTGAACATATTTTACAGTGAAATGGTCTTTCACCAGTGTGACATTTTTCATGGACTTTCAAATGATCATTTCGAGAAAATGTCTTCGAACAGACTTTACATTGGAATGGTTCTTTACTCATGTGTTTACGTAGAAATAGTTTTTTCCCAATATGAGTTTTTTCATGACATTTCAAATTATCCTTTCTACTGAATGTCTTTGAACATATTTTAGACTGAAATGGGCTTTTCTCTGTACAAGATTTTTCACGGTTCACCAAATTATTATTTTTGGTGAATGTCTCTGAATTGATTTTACACTGAAATGATTTTTCTCCTGTGTGAATTTTTTCATGGCGTTTCATAAATTCTTTATTAGTGAATGTCTTTGAACAAATTTTACATTGGAATGGCTTTTCTCCTGAATGAATTTTTTCATGACGTGTCAAAAATTCTTTTTTAGGGAATGTCTCTGAACAAATTTTACATTGGAATGGCTTTTCTCCTGTATGAATTTTTTCATAGCATTTCAAAGTTACTTTTTTAGTGAATTTCTTTGAACCAGTTTTACATTGGAATGGCTTTTCTTCTGCGTGAATTTTTTCATGGCGTCTCAAAATTTCTTTTTTAGTGAATTTCTTTAAACAGATTTCACATTGGAATGGTCTTTCAGCTCTATGAGTTTTTTCCTGATTTATCGAATAGTTATTTTGAGTGGAAGTCTTTGAACAGACTTTACCCTGAGATTTATCCTCAGTATGAGTTTTTTCATGGCTTTTCAATAGGTAGTTTCTAGAGAATGTCTTTGAACATATTTTACATTGGAACTGTCCTATCCTATTATGATTTTTTCGATGTGATATCAAAGAAGCATTCTGAATGAATGATTCGGAGCAGATTTTACGCTGAAATAGTTTTTTCCCAATGTGAGTTTTTTCATGGCGTTTCAGATTATCATTCCTATTGAATGTCTTTGAACATATTTTACACAGAAATGGTCGTTCCGCTCTATGAGTTATTCCATGTTTTATCAAATTAGCATGTTGAGTGAATGTCTTTGAACAGATTTTACATTGAAATGGTTTTTCTTCAATATGATTTCTTTCATGACGTTTCAAGTGACAAATTTTGTCGAACGATTTTGAGCAATACTTACACCAAAATAATTTCTCTTCGATGTGAGTTGTTTCATGGCGTTCCAAACTGGATAGTCTATCAAATGTCTTTGAACAGATTTTACACCGAAATTGACTCTCCCCAGTATGAGTTAACTCATGGTATTTCAATCGATAATTTCGAGTGAATGTCTTTGAACAGAATTTACACCGAAATGATTTCTGTTCTGCATGAAGTCTTTCATGGCGTTTTAAAGTATGTTTTAGAGTAAATGTCTTTAAACAAATTTTACACTGAAATCGGCTTTCTGCTGTACGAGTTTTTTCATGGTCTACCAAATTATTGTTTTTGGTGGAGGTCTCTGCATATATTTTACACTGAACTGTTTTTACTCTAGCATGAATTTTTTTATAACATTTCAAGTTACGTTTCTGATTCTGAAATAATTGTTTCCCGGTATGACTTTTTTCATGACGTTTCAAAGCACTACTTTGAAGGAAAGATTTAGAACACATATTACATTGCAATTGGTTTTTTACCTCACTATGACTTTTTAAATAATTCGTAACTCCTAACCTGTTCATAGAAGACCTGGTACAGATTTTGCCGTTAACTTTTTTCTCCTCGTCATGATCCTTATCACGGCTTCGCAAATTTCTCTTTTCTGTTAAATGTTTTGAGCAGGATTCATACTGAAACGGTATCTTCCCTGTATTCGTATTTTCATTATGATATTCTTTATCAACTTGCTCAGGTGTATGAATCACTTCATGTTCATTTTCAGTAGAAAACTCCTTTCCATTTAGTACTGATGACAGATTTTCATTGACAAAAGGGACGTTCATCTCAAAGATTTCTTCTTCCTGTGTGTCAACCAGGACAATTCTNTCTTACATTTTTACACTTGTACATCTATACGTTTTTACATTTTTATTTATACATATATGTATATATATCTGTATTTTATGGTCCTATGTTTATATGTATTGAATGTATATTTACATGTTTGTTTGTTTACATATTTATAAGTATAAGTTGACATGTTCGATACCATGTAGTTGGTCCATGAATGAATAAATTTCTTTCTTTCTTTCTTTCTTTCTTTCATAGTTTGACTATGTGTGTCTGAGCTGCATTACCACAAGATAAGGTAGCATAATGAAGGTGTGAATGAAATAGGGAGTAATAAGAAGTTAGTGCTGCTGTTTGATTCGCAAGGTCTCGAACTTTTTTATTAGCAAAAACAGCCCTGGAGGCGACTCAATTTGTACTTCTTGAAATTTAACACTTCCATAAATCTCTTCTTGATTAGCAGAATTATTTGGCCTACAATCAAATTTTAGGCACACAATTTTACTCTCATTCAGTATGAATTTCTGAACAAAATTTGTCGATAAAAAAGCGGATTTTCTGCCAACTTTTCTAGGGCCCATTCACTGCATCTTTCTCTTTGCACCATGTCTGAAATCCCGCGTGATCTGTCAAATACTAATGCATGAAAATCCTAACCTCAAAAAAATCACCCGTTATAAAAGTTGTAGGATAGAGTTAGTTTTTAGTAAGTTATATTAAATGAGCCTTTGAGCCTTTATGAAATATACTAATCATTCCAAATTTAGTGTTAGTTTCATTAATGTAAAAATTGTTATTTCTTCTCGTATTGTAATCACGAACTTCATCATTTCTCAATAAGAATTTTTGAAAGTAATTGTGTAGCAATCCTTTATGCAGCTTAAATATAAAGTTCATAGTCATTTTTCAAATGAAAACCAATTTAGACGCTGTAACATCAATTTAGTTGCTAAGTTTTTTAGATATTTTTTTACAAATAAAATCAGCATGACTATTTAGTTTTAAATTTTTATCAATCATAACACCCAAATATTTTATTTCAGTCATAATTTCAATGTTAACATTATAAATTTTTATAACAACATTTGCCCAAACAATCTGATCATACTTATAAGATGATGTTAAAATCATACTTTTTATTTTACTGACATTTAGTTCAAGTTTATCATTAAATAAATATGTTTCAATGCTATCTGAATACATATTCATTTCAACAATTGCCTGATCCAAATTTTCATGTATACAATAAAACAATGTATCATCTGCAAAAAGATTTATACAGTGTAATCCAGAAATGTGGTTAATATCATTGAGCTGTCAGATCCAAATTATTATATGATCGAGATTATTTCAGATTTCACTGTCTATATCTATAATTTTATTTCTCCCACACCAGCACTAGTAGCAAAAAACTGTTGTAATGATTCAATCTACGAGTAAAAAAATGGTTCAGTTACGTAACGAGGGAGCCTATAATTATTGCAAGTACAAATTTTCTAGAAAGTGAAGGATTTCGATCAAAAACTCTTTGGAAGTCGCGATGGGGGAACTTGAAGTCTAAAATTGTACCATTGTCTATTGAACAAAATGTCTTTTCGGTGGTTGGATTCTGTTATCCTAACACTAAGCTAGTCGAACTCACGATATCTCCATCGAATCAAAAGCAAAAAATTCTGTTATAGAGTACAAAATTAGCATGAAATTATGGCCCTGAAATAAATATAAGAATTCAAAGTAGTTCTACTAGCTTAACAGGGGTAACAACTTTCATAAATCTTGATAAAATGCTATCCTACTAATTGTAAAAAACTTCGTCTACTTGGGCTTCAGAATTGGGTTCAGAGAGAAATAAAATTTGTGAGTGATAAATAGCTTATTGGAATAGAATATTTACTACTCATAATACTTTTGTTGTTATAGGGAAAAATAGCTGCAATTAAGAGTTCAAACGATTAGATATTTGATATTGTAGTACTATTATTATATTGTTAATTTATATTGTTTATCGATGCACTTAGTTCAATTAAATATACTTCTACAGTATTCTATTCTATGTCGGTATCATTTCTCTCTGAACTCAATAGCAAAGACCACCTAGACAAAGTCGTAAGCAGAAGATAGTGATAATAATGATAAGGCATAGACATCTGATGTTAAATGTGTTGAACAAAATTATGAATATGAAAAATTGTTACCAGAGGTTGAATGAAGAGACGGTTTCAAATCCTGTGACATATCTTCACCGTGAATAGCATTGAATTCATTGCTCTGACAGTAACAACTCGCTTGCAGATCGAGGCTTAAGAAATTCATTGTGATAATGAGACGTCCTCCACATAATCCACAATATGACTCTTCATTTACTTCTTGCATGTTATTTTCGAATTTGACATCGTGATAAACAACATCAATGTCATCTTCACTTTTTATTAGTTCTGGCTGAAATTCATTTTCTGAGATCCCCACATCGAGTGCATCGTACTTTTCTTCAGACTCGAGAGTGACATTTTCATCAATAGCTTCGATTTCTTTCTTCTTAATAGAGATTACATATTCACCAGTGGCAGGAACCATTATTGATTATATTTTGTATAAGGAAATAAAATATTAACTATTGATTTTTCACTCGTAAGAAACTAACGTCAGAACTCTGTTTCTTGTAATTTATAAAACTTAGCATCAAAATGGTTGAAGAATTAATTAGTTAACCTAGGTCTGACCACAGACCATGGTCTGACGTAAGAAGCAGTGTTGCCAATGGAATTTGCATAAAACACTCCAAAACTTGGGATTAAATACTAAAATACTCACAAAATCCTCGCACATCTTATTCTAATCCATTGACTTCAGTGAAAAACAAAGTATTTTATTGCAAAGATCATTTTGATTCAAGCACAATGACGATCTATCATGTACATAAGTATAACTATATCTTAACCATCTTGTAGTTTGCATTTATTTTGTATACCTAAATATGTAAATACTTAAAAAATCATATCAAAGGTAGAAAACCTTCGGTGTCAAAAGATGTTCGTTATATTTATATATTTTAAGTAACTTCTTCGCGCCATCCTATGTTCAGTGTGAAGCCAGTATTCTCTATAAGTACAGGTATTAGTCTATCTAAACTCGCCTGTTACTGCTGCTCTGTTCGCGAGGAAATATACATTGAAGTATTTTTTCTTCTTTCCGATTGGGAGAGAACATGCTAAATATAAACTGGTCGAGGGGAAAACTGAACTTAAAAAGGGTATAGTTTCTCACGAATTCTAATGTTGATAATATAATAATGATATACCGGAAAGATCGATTGTACAAAAACGTAATCAAATAAAATATTTTAAAAAACTGTTAGTCAAAGACGAAGAACCCATTCCTTCTACATTAGATTCCCCTGAAAAGTATTTGTTGTCTGCCGTGAAGACGAAAGAGTAATAGAAGATCCATTAGGTTTATAGGTTTTGGAAATAATGATCAATATGTGGTAATATCAAATGAGCATAAGGCTGTGCCGGGTAGAGTAGTAAGCGGACAGAGAGTGTTGACATGTGACGTATGACTATTTGGTATTAAAACAAAGACCAATGTGTTTGTATTCATATAGGCTCTAATGCGACAAACTTTCAAGTGATTTTGCATACCCATTGACATTCTTCATTGTTCCCATTTACGCTCGGCTCACAGGAGATATGTCCTTATAACTCTGAAATGGAGAGTAGTTTCTAGTGATACTCAATTGAAAGGTCTTCAAACATAATCCTAGAACCACCAAATCATATCTTTCTGATTTACGACAGTAATCCCATCAAAAGTCACATCTGTCATGTGTCACAGCACAGAACAGATAGACCATAGATATCCAAACAAATGGTTAAGCAACCAACCTATCCGGGTCTACAAATTTCATGCTTTTCTGTGGATATTTTTGAAAATCACTTATCTTTTTAGCTTTTGGTTTGCGGTAGCAGAGAAACAATGAATGACAAAAAATCAAGCTATTGAAATTTTCATTATTCAAGTAACAAAACCGGGAAATCCACCAAAGCAGATCTTAGAATGATTCGGATTTGAAAATAAAATAAAATAATACTTTTGACAACTGTATATTTGACTGGTACATATATCACAAAAGATAAAAACTATTTAATACAATGCAAAGAATATTAACAAATAAAATATACATACAAACATAAACAGCAAAAACTCACATAAATGTTGATGATTTAAATAGATACAGCACAATGTAAAAATAAAATAAACACAAGACAATGTAAATATGCAGCGAGTGAAATAAATAAAACAAATCCTATTCATAGAAAACAGATAATACTTCAGGAATGAGTACTTGGACCCTTATTTTTGGTGTACGATCTCTCAGAACAAACCTACATTCATTTTAATATAATATTCAACTCGAAACAAACATTTTGAAACTAATTGTGAATTTTATTATAAAGTTGTAAATGGATATCTGAACGTATCTCGCAATGAAAAGGTTCATTTCGCAGTATGAACTTTTTCATGTGTCTTTAATACGTCACTTCGAGAGAATGCCTTTGAACATACTTTACACTGGAATGGTTTTTCTCCTGTGTGAATTTTTCCATGGCGTATCAAAGCTTCTTTTTTAATGAATGTCTTAGAACAGATTCCGCATTGAAATGGTCCTTTCCAAATATGACCTTTTCCATGCGCTATCAAAGAAGCCATCTGAACAAATGATTCAGAGCAGACCCTACAATGAAATCGTTTTTCTCCAATGTGGGTTTTCTCATGACGTTTCAAATGAAAATCTCTATTGAATGTCTTTGAACAAAATTTGCACAGAAACGGTCTTTCCGCTCTATGAGCTTTTTCATGCTGAATCAAATTACTATTCAGAGTGAATGTTTTTGAACACGTTTCACAATGAAATGGTTTTTCTTCACTATGAATTTTTTTATGACGTTTCAAGTTACTCATTGTGTTGAATAATTTTGAGCAATAGTTACACCGAAATAATTTGTCTTCGGTATGAGTCATTTCATGGCATTTTAAACTGTAAAGTCCATCGAATGTCTTCAAACAGATTTTACACCGAAATTGACTCTCCCCAGTATGAGTTAACTCATGGTATTTCAATCGATAATTTCGAGTGAATGCCTTTGAACAGAATTTACACCGAAATGATTTCTGTTCTGCATGAAGTCTTTCATGGCGTCTTAAAGAATGCTTTTTAGTGAATGTCTTTAAACAAATTTCACACTGGAATGGGCTTTTCGTTGTACTAGTTTTTTCACGGTTTACCAAATCATTATTTTTGATTAATGTCTCTGAACAGATTTCACACTGAACCGGGTTTTTTCTAGCACAATTTTTTTTATAACATTTCAAGTTACGTTTCTGACTCTGAAATAAATGTTCCCAGGTACAATTTTTTTTATAACATTTTAAGTTACGTTTCTGACTCTGAAATAAATGTTCCCAGGTATGACTTTTTTCATGATGTTTCAAAACACTACTTTGAAGGAACGATTTAGGACACATATCACACTGCAACGGATATTTCACCTCAGTATGAGTTTTTAAATTATTTGTGACTCCTGACTTGTTCACAGAAGATCTTGTACAGATTTTGCTGTTAACTTTTGGCTCCTCATCATGATCCTTTTTGCGGCTTCGCAAATTTCTCTTCGCTGTTAAATTTTTTGTGCAGGATTCATACTGAATCGGTGTCTTTCCTGTATTTCTGTTCCGAAGAGATTTCAAATCAGTACCTTCATTCTGATATTCTTTATCAACTTGCTCAGGTGTATGAATCACTCCATGTTCATTTCCATTTGAAAACTCCTTTCCGTTTAGAGGTGATGACATATCTTCATTCGTGTCAACGAGGATATCCTTCGAATCTGTGAAAAAATAACACTGTGAATAGAATGAATTTTTGTTTCATGCAAAAAAACCAAACCAATATCAACACAAAATAGTTTCATCACCTTGACAACAACTTCACCACTGTTAAGCTAGAAGAGTCACTTTGAATATTTAAATTTAATTTTAGGCTGTAATTTTAGGCTAATCTTGTACTCTATTCCAGAATTTTTTGCTCTCCATTCAATGGATATGTTTTGAAAAACACATTTAATTGAATCAGGCTATGTCTGACGCATATATTTCAAGTTAATATAGACAACATACTGTCAGAATCATTTCTCTCTGAATTAAGTTCTGAACTTTACAACATTATTAGCAGAAGATAGTAATAATAATAATGAAAAGGCATAGACTGATTATGTTGATATCTGATTATGTTGAACGAAACTGAATACTGAAAATGAAAAATTATTACCTGAGGTTGACTCAAGGGGCACTTTCAAATCCTGTGACACATCTTCACCATGAATAGCATTAGACTCATTGTTCTCACAGTAACAAATCACTTTCAGATCTTCGACGCCGAAGTAATCCATTGTATTAATGAAACGTCCTCCACATAATCCACAATATAACTCTTCATCTACTTCTTGCGTGTTATTTTCAGAGACCCCCACATCGAGTGCATCGTATTTTTCTTCAGATTTCAGAGTGACATTTTCATCAAAAGTTTCGATTTCTGTCTTAATGGATATTGCATATTCATCGGTGGATGGAGCCATAATTGATTATAGTTTGTAGAGAAAAATAAAATCAACTATTGAACGAACTTCTACTCAGAAGTAACTAGTATTCCCTACAAGGACACAAGGACACAATCACTGAACTCAACGTCACAACTCAAACACTAATGTTTACTTCTTAAGACATATACCTTGAGGATCGGGAAATTCTAGTAAAGTAATCAGTTATACTGTGATCGGGATATATAAGAAATTAATTGGTTACCTGGAGCCACAGGTAAGAAGAGAGGTTAATTAGATACCTGTGGCTTTAGGTACGAAGCAGTGTTGCCAATGGAATTTGCACAAAACACTCCAAGTCTTGGGATAAAGAACTCAATATAGTCAATCGAAAATTTATATTTGTTAAAAATAAAAAACAATAATTAGGGTTTGTGATAAAAACTTGATACTCTGTGTTGTTTACCATATCGACATAAATTATTTCCTCTATATAAAATTTAAAAATATACAAAAGTAACTAACAGAAAATGTGGCTACTTGTATAATCTATGCACACTTTTAAATCACAGTGGAACTACTTACAGAGGGCATTATACAGCATACTGCAGACACCCGTATTCTGGCGCGTGGCATAAATACGATTCATACGTGTCACCAATTTCACCAAAATCGGTTGTGAGTGGAGAAGCATATGTCATCTTTTATGAAAAGGATGGAACAAAATCGTACCTTTGAGATAACTAAGGAAAAGTTTCTTTGTGCAATTATTATTTATTTTTTGTTGAGTTCAAATAAAATAAGTTGTAACTAACAGTCACTTATGGATTACCACAACACAAATCAAAAAAATAAAATATATTTTCCAAGCTGATGGAAACATTTATCAGTCACCTCAAATCAAAATAACAAACAACATACATATTCAAGCAAGTTTCTTACACTTGCAGTGGAAAAATGAGTTTTCATAGATTTTCGGAAGATATTTTAAGTAAAGCCAAAATAGATTGCTGTGGCCATCCTAGTAATGGGGAATGTTCCTCAATTTGGGTTATTACAGCAAATGCAAGTTTGAACAAAATAAAGTTGAGTTCTTTAAATTCACTTCGAAAAGTATTCAAATTGATGTTTCAAATGTTGGGTTTTAATTTTCAAAGGGATTTGTTTCTAATCCACATATTGGCATATGCCACAGAATGTCTCGGAACATAAATAAACAGAACAGGCCTCTGAAATATGTCATCTTTGTTCTTCTTCTTTTCCCATTAATGGCTTCAGCTGCCAGGGCTATCCAGCCAGGAGTTCCAGGATCATGTTGCTACTACAGGTGGAGCCCACACTAAAGTGGATCTGAGTTAGACCCAAACCCCACTTGGTTTTGCGCTATAACAAAGTTCGACTGTAGTTTGAGGTGAGTTAACAATTGTTTGTCTCATACAGCTAACAGATTCATTGTCCTTTATTAGTTATAACCGATGTTGCCAAATAGTGAAATAGAAACAAATCCCTTTAAATATTGAATGCATTATTTCATTCCTCTTTTTTAAGTATTTAAATTATTTTTTAAAGGAAAAGGTTGAAATGATAAGTTCAAAATGCGTTCTTTTAAAATTCTTTTATGAAAACTACTTGATTTTCGTCAGGAGGAACATTCCTCATTGCATATAAATGCCACCGATATGTTGGATACATAGACTCTTTTTACTATAAAAAGAGTGATTTCGAGACAATGTCAAGAAAGCAGCTTTACATACGGAGCCCTATAGAAGGTTTTTGAAAAACGATTTGTTACCTTTGGTCATGTCTTTGTTGAATAATCAAAATTATGTTTATATGATTATCTGGTTGTGTATCTAATTATTTACAAAAAAGAGAAAAACTATTGTGTGATTTTTGTACGTATCATATTAGGATGCCAATTTGAATGAGTTATCCTGCAGAATTATAACGATGTACTACTGAAAATAAATGTACTCTATTATGGACTCTCTGGTATAGATTCCATGATTAAACTCAACGGTATTTTTCCCTTCAATGAAATAGCGAGATGGCGAACAAACTATTCGACATTTTGGAACCACTTCCACGGATCTTTTCATCATGACTCTTCTACAAAAACCCCACCTATTTGGTTTCCATAATTCAGCAGCACTTTTCATTAAATCCTACTTACTTCAATGCGAACAGTTTGTATCTTACAACGGCTTTGATTCTTTTTATTACAATCCTTCATCTGGAGTACCTCAGGGGTCGAATCTCGGACCACTTCTGTTCTTATTATTTATTAATGACCTCAGTAATTATGTCGATTGTAATAAGTTATTTTTTGAAGACTGTAATACATTGCAACGATAACGATGAGATTGAAACCTTTGGTGTGAAAGTTGTGAAGCAAGTGGGTTGAAAGAGATGTAGATTGACAGGTACTTCAAGTTTCTTTATAGGTCTGTCGAAGCAGATAGTTGCAGATAGTTTTGAAGTGTTTTAAAAAGGTATGGGTTTGGCTTCAATACAATCTGTTTTTTCGTTAATCAGCTGTCGCCCCCATAAGAACGACAACTCTCAGAAGTTGACAAACTTGTGCGAGCTAAGGACTAACGAGGTCTTACCTCTTGTATTGTAATCTTAGATTACAATGTTTTGTTTGTTTGAAACAGATTCAGTATTGCCTGCATAGGAAGGTAGTACTGTGAAATTACTATTTAAGGATGATTGACACTTGGAAATAAAATAAAATCATTACATTAAACTATACATGTTGATCTATTCAAACAAATATTAGAAAAAAGTCAATACCAGGAATACAAAACAGAAATTTCTAGATTAAATATTGGGACCTGTACACTGATCAATTCAGAAACCAACTTGAAAGCATCCAATTCGTAGACATATCCAAACATGTAAATAAAGTTGTCATATAACAGTCACCTCGAAAAAACAATTTGAAACTAATTGTGAATTTTATGATGACGTATCAAATGATATTTTCTAATGAATGCCTTTGGACATATCTCACATTGATATGGTCTTATCCCAGAATGAGTGGATTCATGCGCTTTCAAAGAAGTATTCCTTTCAAAAGTTTCTGAGCAGAATTTGCACTGAATGAGTTTTTTCACATTATGAGTTTTTTCATGATTAGTTAATAGGTCACTTCGAAAGAATGCCCTTGGACATATTTTACACTGGAATGGTTTCTCTCCTGAGTGATTTTTTTCATGGCGTTTCAAAGTGTCTTTATTCTGGAATGTCTTTGCACAGATTTTACATTGAAAAGGACCTTTCGAAATATGATCTTTTCCATGAGCTATCAAAGAAGCCATCCGAATGAATGATTTAGAACAGACTTGACACTGAAATAGTTTTTCCCCAATGTGAGTTTTCTCATGGCGTTTCAAATGATAATTGGTATCGAATGTTTTTGAACACATTTTACACAGAAATGGTCTCTCCGATCTATGAGTTTTTTCATGTTGTATCAAACTACCATTCTGAGTGAATGACTGAGAACAAAATTTACAATGAAATGGTTTTTCTTCACTATGGAATTTTTTATGACGTTTCAAGTTTTCCATTTTGTTGAATGATTTTGAGGAATACTTGCACTGAAATAATTTGTCTTCAGTGTGAGTAGTTTCATGGCGTTCCAAACTGCAAAGTCTAGTGAATGTTTTCAAACAGACTTTACAGTGAAATTGTCTCACCCTAGTATGAGTTAATTCATGGTCTTTCAATCGATAATTTCGAGTGAACGTCTTAGAACAGAATTTACACTGAAACAATTTTACTTCTGCATTCTGAATGAATGATTCAGAGCTGATTGTACGCTGAAATAGTTTTTCCCCAATGTGTGTTTTTTCGTGTCGTTTCAGATTATAATTTCCATGGAATGTCTTCGAACATATTTTACACTGAAATAGGCTTTTCCCTGTACAATAGACTTTACACTGAACCGGTTTTTCTCTAGCATGAATTAATTTATAATATTTTAAGTTATGGTCCTGACTGACTAAATGTTCCCAGGTATGACTTTTTTCATGACGTTTCAAAACACTACCCTGAAGAAAAGATTCTGAACACACATTACATTGCAATTGGTTTTTTACCTCAGTATGAGTTTCTAAATAATTTGTAACTCCTGACCTGATCACAGAAGACCTCGTACAGATTTTGCCGTTAACATTCATCTCCCCATCATGATCCTTTTCACGGCTTCGCAAATTTCTCTTCTCTGTTGAATTCTTTGTGCAGGATTCATACTGAACAGGTGTCTTCCCTGTATTCCTGTTTCGAAGAGATTGCAAATCAGTACCCTCATTCTGAGTCTCATTATTAACTTGCTCAGGTGTATGAATCATTCCATGTTCATTTCCATTTGAAAACTCCTTTCCATTTAGAGCTGATGGCATATTTCCATTGACAAAATAGACGTTGACGTCAAACATTTCATCTGAGGTTGAATGAAGAGACGGATTCAAATCCTGTGACACATCTTCACCGTGAATAGCATTAGACTCATTGTTCTCACAGTAACAAATCACTTTCAGATCTTCGACGCCGAAGTACTCCATTGTATTAATGAAACGTCCTCCACATAATCCACAATATGACTCTCCATTTAATTCTTGTATGTTATTTTCGGATTTGACATCGTGATAAACAATGTCAATGTCATCTTCACTTTTTATCTGTTCTGGCTGAAATTTATTTTCTGAGACCCCCACATCGAGTGCGTCGTATTTTTCTTCAGACTTCAGAGTGACATTTTCATACAAAGTTTCGATTTCTGTCTTAATGGAGATTACAAATCCATCGGTGGAAGGAGCCATAATTGATTATAGTTTGTAGACGGAAATGAAATATCAACTATTGAACTTCCACACTTAAGTAACTAGTATTCCCTACAAGAACACTACTATCACTGAACTCACGTCACAACTCAAACATTAATGACACGTTAGAATGCTGAAGAGCTAATGATTACTTCTTATATGTCATTTAAGATGTAGAATCGGGGTATAAGAGGGGTTAATTGGGTACCTGATTACCTGTGGCTTTAGGCACACTTTAGGTAAGAAGCAGTGTTGCCAATGGAATTTACACAAAACACTTGATGTACTCACAAAATCCTCTCACATTTTATTCTAATCCAGTGACCTTACAAATCTGCGATGTGATACAACCGATGATGATTGTATATTTAATAGTATATCGAATAACAGTTAACATAAAATGAATGGAAAATAAATTAACTACGCCTATCACAATTCGCAAATTCACTGATAGAATGGATAAATATACTATAGAATGGATAAATATACTATTTTCACTTCGAAAAGAGTGATATTTCTTTGATAAAAACTATCTAATCAACTTCTGCAACTAGTTGTATCAATTTATTTCTAAGGCTGAGGTGTAGCCATTATAATTTATAAACCAAAATTGGCAGAGGATATATTTCTATGATTTTTGTATCAAATCATCAACAAAATAACGGACTATTAGGGATACATTCTATAGTTACATTCAACAGTGTTTTCCTCCAATAAAATACTAAGATGGCGGACAAAATATTTGACATTTCGGAACCCCTTCTATAGGTCTTTTCATCCTGTGAAAAGCAAGCGGGTTGAAAGAGGGGTAGTTTGAGACGTTGAAAGGGAGGTAGTTTAAAGCACATGATTGTTATCAAATAAAAAAGGTATTAAAAGTGTTGTGGCAAGGTATTTAGTGTCGCAAAAAGGCAAAAAAATTTAACTGCTCAAGAGCTTAGTAGTACTGTAGTTCTAGTATGTTTCAGAAAAGAGATGAGAATGTTTCTGGTTGGTGGGGTTTATTACTCAGTTCAGGAGTATTTTGAGGATACTTTCGTCTTCTGACACACTCAATAACACATTTTTTTTCGCCATACATATCCAAACAAAGCTTGAAGCTTACAACACAGCTTTTGGTTGGTGGTAGAAGAGAAGCAAGAGGTACACTGAATGACGAAACAAATCAAGCTATTAAAATTTTCATCATTTCAACACTAGTCGTGTGTAATCCCACCAACATACAATTTCATAAACAGGTTGTTCATGAAATGTTCGAAAAATAGATAAGTAAATATGAACTATATAAAAATCAATAGTTTATTGCAAATAAGGCACAAAAGTTTTACAAAAATTTCAATCACTTGAATCGGTTACATACTTTAAATCTATGTTTAATCAAAACGTCATTACTCAAACAATTCGAACGAAACTCTCTACAAATTAATAAAAATTCGAAACCTTTCACAATGAAAGTATGAAACACATGAAAAATCGTGACGTTCAAGTGTATGATGACGTAATGCCAAAACGTGGTTCTGTCCACCCTTTTTCGGAGTCAGTATTCTCTTTTCAATGGCTAGTCCATATTATGGCGTCACCGAAAAATTGAACAACCATACGTGACCGTGTTTATTCTTCCTGCAACGTGAAATTAGAAGTTCATCTGCCCAATGTGGATATTGTTTCTAGACACCAATTAGTAATTATTCGACAGACAGAAAGCGATATAATAGGAGAAATTAGTTTTTTTTACTTTCTTCTTCTGTTTTTTTTACTAGACGAATCCTCTGCAGTTCCCACTAACACGCTAGCTTGGGAAAATCCAGGTTTGTTCATCGATCTTTTTCCAGAAAAAAAGTAGTTGAAAAGCCATGAATCTTTTTTTTCCATGTCAAATCTTTGATATCTGTCGAAGAAATTTGAAAATAAGAGCTCATTTTCTCGCTAAATAAAGGATTTACGTCAAAACTGAGAATGAAAAAGTGATTCCTGTATAATTCGATGTCCATAGGGAGAGTAGTTGTTTCAGGCAGAAGAAAAATCCGAAATGATCTACGAATTTTCATGAAGAGATATCGACATTTGTGATTTATTTTCTCTTTGTTTTGCAAGTTCTCCATTTTCAGTAAGAGTAATAGTTTATTCAGTTTTCAGATGATAGACAGATATTCAATTGGACCACATGTTTTCTTTTTATGGAAACAAACAGATAAGTAAATATGAACGATATAAAAACCAATAATTTATTGCAAATAAGGCACAAAAGTTTTACAAAAATTTCAATCACTTGAACATATTATACCACGTTTGCAAAATTAGTTTCTCAAGTATGTACAGTTGAGTATAAATAAAGTTTTTAGTGAAAAATAGATAACAGTAAAATACATCAGCCACTAAAATATCTAAAGGTAGAAACAAACTGTGAGGAATAAATAATGAATAAAGTATAGGATACTGAAGCACGAATAGACTATATAATTTATAGATAACAGGAGACTATTATATAGTTTCAACTCAATTCTTGACATAGAAACAGATAGATGAATATTAAAATAACTACTTAAAAAATGGAGAGATGAGAATGGGGTCATTTCAACAAATCTTTTTTCACCATGTACTCATCCAAGCTATATCTCCCATTCATTTAGTCCTTGACATACACTATATGCAGATGCTAAATATCTTGTAGCAATGAATTAAATAGTACCCTACCATTATACATTGAAGATGACTTGAATGTCAGATCTTTGTTGCTTTTGCATGGATCAGTGCTTTATGAGTTGAAGAGTAGAGCAAACATATTATTTTGAAAATGAAGCTCTACAGTATTAGGTGCAATAGGTGCAATATCAGATCAGATTTTCTTCTGATCCATCTTTCTTGCAGAATGTATAGACTATGTACCATTTCAAGAATGAATCTTTTCATGCCTTTTCAAAGTAGCATTTTTAATGAAAGATTTTGAACAGACTTTACACCGAAATTGTTTTTGTACAGTATGAGTTTTTTCGTGGTATTTCAAAGAGTTTTTACTAATAAATGGCTTTGAGCAGATACTACACTGGAATGGTTTTTCCCCAGAATGAATCCTAAGATGAATTTCGAGTTTTCTCCTATCACTTAATGACTTTCCGCAAACTTCGCACTGAAATAGTTTTTCTCCAGTATGACTTCTTTCATGGGATTTCAAATTACATTCTTGTATGAACGATTTTGAGCACATTTTACATTGAAAAGGCTTCTCTCCTGTATGAGTCTTTTCATGATATTTCAAACCACTACTCCGAAGGAAAGATTTTGAACAGATTTCACACTGAAATGTTTTCATCTCATTATGATTTTCAAAACTACTAGTCCCACTAAGAGGTTTTTCTTCAGCGTGAATCTTTTCATGCCTCTTTAAATTACAATTTTTCAAAAAAGACTTCGAGCAGACTTCACACTGAAATGGTTTTGACCCAGTATGAATCTTTTCTTGTATTTGTAAACGATTATTCACAATAGGTTTTTCTTCAGCATGAATCTTTATATGTCTTTTAAAATTACTATTTATGAAAAAAGATTTTGAGCATATTTTACACTGAAATGGTTTTAGTCCTGTATGAGTCGCTTCATGTATTTTCAAAGTACTACTTACAAAAAATGACTTTGCGCAGTATTTACACTGAAAAGGTTTTTCTACAGCATGAATCTTTTCGTGCCTTTTGAAATTATTATTTTTGAAGAAAGATTTTGAACAGATCTTACACTGAAACGGTTTCAGTCCAGTATGAGTTTTTTCATGGCATTTCATCGAATTACTACAAATAAAGGGTTTAGAGCAGATTTTGCACTGGAATGGTTTTTCTCCCGTATGAATTCTTAAATGAATTTCGAATTTCGACCTTTGACTTAGTGACTTTCCGCAAAATTTACACTGGAACAGTTTTTCTCCAGTATGACTCCTCTCGTGGTATTTTAAATCGCTATCTTGAATGAAAGATTTTGAGCACCTTCCACATTTAAACGGCTTTTCTCCGGAATGAGTTTTTTCATGATATTTCAAACTACTATTTTTAAAGAAAGATTTTGAACAGATTTGACACTGATATGGTTTCACCCCGGAATGAATCTTTTCATGAACTTTCAAATTATGGTTTCGAGAAAATATTTTGGAGCAGATTTTACACTGAAAAGATTGTTCCCCAGTATGACTTCTCAAATGAATTATCAGATTTGATTTATATAGGAAAGATTTTGTACAGACTTTACAATGGAATTCTGTATCATTATTATGAGTCTTTTCGTGGATATACCAAGCTTTTTTCAGTGTGAAAGATTTCGGGCAGATTCTGCACTGAAATGGTATCTGTCCCGTATTCTTCTTCTCTAAAGATTTCAAATCAGTACTTTCATTCAGCTTCTCATTAATTTTATCCGTCTCATGATTCACGATATTATCATTTTCAGCAGCAAAATCTTCATCAAATAAAGTTTCCTCTTTCGTCTCGAAAGTTGTTTCTTCTTCATATTTAACGATGATGTCTCCAGAATCTGTAAAGAAATTACAATTGAGTCAATATACTTCGAACATATGACATACTACTACTAGTGTTACAACAAAGGGTAGTGAAAAATGTATTAGCGTTTTTTTCTTCGATGTTTATGGCATCTAGGGCCAAGGTCATTAGCCTTGATAGGTCAAGAAGAGTACTTCAACCACGCTACTGAAAATGAATGCCGAAGTAGCAGTTGAAACAATTGGAGATTGTAACTAAAGACCACGGTGAAACCCGGAAACCAACAAAAACATACCAAAATATTGATCTCTCTAACTACAACTACTTCCTCGGCAAATACCACGCTGGGAATTGAATTATATCCGACAAACATTTATGCAAACATTATTCTTTTATAGAATCTAACAATACTTCTGTATTGCAAATCAGTGCTTCTGATACTTGGCTAAGAGAAACCCTGGAACTTGTTTCTGTCCGCTACAAAATTTGTAATACTCTATTCTTGTTCAAGTCATTACTCGTCAAGCAGATATTATCAACAAGCTAGCTGCCTTTTTAGTATATTTGAATGAGACATCAATATAGACCGACTGAGGTTACTTTGCAAAAATCATTTTAGCATAAACGTAGAAACATTTGTCTGGAAACCCTTTGGTGAAAGGATCCCTATTTATAATGGATGCATTACGTTTAATTACTTACCTTGCGATTTGGGAGATTGTTACGATACAGATCGGTTCAGAAAAGTATGAATATTTTATTGCAAAATGAACCATACTACAACAGTATTCTTGGAGATACTCTAAATTCTATTGGTCAACTCAATTCCAACATTAGCATGTGAGTTGTTACTTTTATTGTATTTCAATTGTATTGTGGTTTTTATCAGTTTGATCTACCAGCTTTCTATTGCATTATCATCACTTTGTCAGCAAAAAAAGGTTCCTATGACAGTAAAGCAAACCAAGACCTGCAGAGGTATTATCACTGTAAAAGACTCTGTGGTAGCACTGTTTAATATGTGACATTCCAGTTCCTATAAAGGCATAGTTTGATAACTCTTCAAGAATGTTATTGATAAATTGAAAGGGGTATTTTCATAGGAGTGGTTAATTTTTGAGAAAGATTTTGGCTTTCCACTTCTCGATCTTTATACAACTATGAATGATATCTGATTCAATTTAATTAGTAATTGAGAAAATGATACCTGGGGTTGAGCTAAAAAGTTTCATATCCTGAGTCAAATCTTTGAATCCTATAGCATCAGACTCTTTTTCCGTTTGACAACTACAGCTTCTGAAACATTTACTGAGAGAACCTCCACACACCTCACAATGTGAGCCTTCAGTTAAATTTTCCGATTTGAGTTCTTGATAAACAATATCAATGTTTTCCTCACTTTTCATTTTCTCGGGAAAAATTTCATTGGCATTAGATTCAAGTGGATCATATTTCTGTTCAGAGTTGTAGAAATCGTTTTGATCGCCAACCGCTTCGACTTCTTTTTTAATTGACCTTCCAGATTCACCAGAAGCCATTATTTAAATATAATTAAAACAAAGTTGATTATTCTTCAAAGATTGAATCTCTCATCGCTGGTAACTAGTTGTCCTTGGATCAGTTTTCTCAAAATTTAACTAGTTGTCTCTAGGATCAGTATTCTCAAAATCTGAAGAGTTTAAGACAAAATTGAAGTATATACTTCAATATTTCATAAAAAAATGAACCTAGAACCAATCCATAACCAAGAATAAAAAATACCCAATGCACAGAATTGACAGTATACAGAATATATTAGGTTTGTTTTGGTTCTGTATTACGAACTGTTATTGAACCGACCAATAGCGAAACCGAATCGATGCGCAGAACATTATAATCACAGAACAGTTCTGGGACGGTCCCAACAAGTAAAAAACCAAAACATATAAAAAAAATTAGTCAGACGTTATCTCCGGTTATCCAAAATTAAATTGAAAATATATTGTCCTCTCTTTGTATTCTTATACAAATGAGTTTGACAAAAACATGCCAAGAATAAATTTTTGGAATTGTAAAAGATGTGATAATAATAATGATTATTATTATTGCTACATACATTTCACGTCTATCTGTTATGGTATAAGAATAATGTTGATATATAATTTTGTCTTATTTACAGGTCGCAATGAACTCTCCGAGTTTCTTTGTTTTACCGAGGACAGTATTGTAGATAAAATACCAAATGAAACACCAACTAAAATACGGATAAAAATGAGATTAAGAAAACGTTACTACCAAAATCCACAACGCAAATGAAAAATTTTATTAGTGCGCAAGAGCAAATTCGAAGTTAAGCAGTCCCTACTCAAATGTACGAACTAATAATTAGTGTTCAGGAATAGTTCCGAATCGGTTCGGAGAAAACCGAAACACTTTGTCAACGATACTAGAACGATTCTAACTGAACCAAAACACATTTTAATAACTGCGCATGATCGAACTGTACAGAATTGTGAACCAAAACAAACCCATTGTCACCCTGTGATTCTTGCCATCACAAATTGACCGTGTTTATTCTCCCTGCAACGTGAAATTAAAAATCCATGAAAACGTATAGTTATTACAGTTTACAGAACAGTTCTAACTATACGTTATCACAGTTTACAGACTAACCATACAAAGCTTATATACCTTTGTATATAGACTAACCACTTCTATACGGTGGTAAAACTTATACTTATACTGCACAGAATGAATACTTTACTGATGATACTAGTTGGCAGCACCACTCACATAAGGAACACGAGAAATAAATATACTCATTATCTTAACAAAGACTCCATCAAATAAATGTTTTAGAATGGCTCAATGGAAGCAAAATCCATCAACATAGAGAGAAAGAAAAATGTTTTAGAATCAAGTGTTAATGTTTTTATTTTGCATCAAACAAATATTGTTTAAAAGAACACTTTTTTAATGCAGATCACTTCTTGGAATGAATGATTAAGATCATATCTTCCAGTGACATGGCTCTTCTTGTGATTGATCGTCCATAGATATTGAATAGATAGATGTTTGTTATATAACTTCATTATATAAAGTAATTTGTAGCAGATCCATTACTTCGAATTATCAATGGAAAAAAAAAATTATCAAGAGTTTTTATTACATTATGAAAATACAATGTATGAGCTTGCCTAAATTTTATACATTTATAGTAATGTATAATGTAATGTAATGAAGAAAATGACATATTAACATTGCAATAGATTATTATTACTGGAGTTTTTCCCAACATCAAACTTATTTTAACAGCTCGACTAGGTTTCGATCACCAAGTGATCATCTTCAAGAGGAATATCAAACTAATCATACTCACAAAGCTATCCTTATTTATACCATGCAATAGCTAACACACCTAATTAAAAAAAAATAAGAATGTCTTGTCTTGAAAAGAAATTCACTTAGAAAAATATAGTGAAAAATAAAGATTTTCAATTTGAATATGAATATAAAATAAATGTGTATTTACACAAGTATTCAATTTTTATAACATTTCATAAATGAACCTTCTCATGTTTTTTAAAAGTAGCATTTGTGATAAAAGACTGAACAGATTTCACACTGATTTTTTTTGCACGGCATGAGTTTTTTCGTGGGTTTTTAAAGAATTTCGACTCATAAACGGCTTTGAGCAGATTTTACACTGGAACGGTTTTTCTCCAGTATGAATTCTTAAATGAATTTTAAGTTTTCTTTTATCGCTTAATGACTTATTGCAAATTTCACACTGAACTAGTTTCCTTCCTGTATGAATTTGCATGTGGTACGTCAAAGAGTTTTTACTAACAAATTGCTTTGAGCAGATACTACATCGGAATGGTTTTTCCCCAGTATGGATCCGAAGATGAATTTCGAGTTTTGACTTATCACTTAATGACTTTCCGCAAACATCACAATGAAATAGTTTTTTTCCCATGTGCGTTTTTGAATGTGTCACAAATTTTGAACTATCATTGAATGATTTTGAGCAAATTTCACACTGGAAGGTTGAGTCAACTTCTTCTCCACCCTGAGTTTTCTCTTCTATATGAGTCTTTTCATGTATCTTCAAACTGTAATTTGCAAGGTATGATTTTGAGCACACTTTACACTGAAAAGGCTTTTCTCTTGTATGGACATTTTCATGAATTTTCAAAGAACTATTTCTGATGAAAGACATTGAACAGATTTTACATTGAAATGGCTTCAGCCCAGTATGACATTTTTCATGATATTTCAATGAATTACTGCTAATGAACAATTTTGAGCAGATTTTACACTGGAACGGTTTCTCTCCAGTATGAAGTCTCAAATGAATTTCAAGTTTTGATCTTTGACTCAATGACTTTCCACAAAATTTACACTGAAATGGTTTCTCTCCAGTATGACTTCTTTCATGACCTTTCAAATCACTTTCTTGAATAAACGATTTTGAGCACACTTTACACTGAAAAGGCTTTTCCCCTGTATGAATTTTTTCATGATATTTCAAGCCACTTGTTCTTATGAAAGATTTTGAACAGATTTTACACTGAAATGGTTTTTTGCCAGTATGAATCTTTTCATGGACTGTCAAATTACTACGTTGAGAGAATATTTTTGAGCAGATTTTACATTGAAACGATTGCTCCCCGGTGTGAGTTTTCAAGTGAATTATAAGATCTGATTTATATAGAAAAGATTCGGTACAAATTTTACAGAGAAATTCTGAATCGTTATTATGAGTCTTTTCATGGATGTGCAAAGCTTTTTTCATCGTGAAAGATTTTGAGCAGATCCTACACTGAAATGGTATATTTTCTGTATCACAGTTTTGATCCATTTGTCCATCAATTTCCTCTGTTTGGTGGAGTATCTCACATTTTAAAATGTCCTCTTTCATCTCATGTATTTCTTCTTCTGTTTTGAGAGGATCTGTAAAAGAATGGCCTGCATTATAAAAACAGTAATATCAGCACCATATTTACTTCACACACATAATATGAAAGGTCATCAAACTTTTAATAGAAAAGTCATGACTTTTTTTTCCTTGTGATCGATTTCTTTGATAGATAGATACAAATTATTTATACTTTGTGCTATATTGCATAGACATACTACTCCAAAATATATCTTAATCTAATAGAACAGCTCATCCTCATTTTCCATAATATGTCTGTAATGACTCGTCCCAAAATCAACTATTTGAGAGCCCACTTTCAACTAAAGGTCTCCAGTCTGGAAATTGTTGAAATGGTAAAATAAAAGAAACAGTCACTTTCGATATTTGAAAGTAATTTTATCTCTGAAATCAATTTCAATCATCCCGATCTTTGATGGTGAGTAGCATTACTGGTGATGACAAAATAAGATCAGAATGAATACCAAATTCAGACATTTATTACTAAAACAAAAAATGTTACCTGATATTGGGCCAAAAGGTTTCAAATCCTGAGTCATATTTTCTTCGCCTTTTACATCAGATTGACATGTACAAATGTTCAAACCATCGAGGCTGGGGAAATCTGTTGAATCAAAGAAACCCCCACACACCTCACAATATGAGCCTTCTTTAACTTCTTCCACACAATTTTCCGTTTTGAGATCCTGATAAACATCAATGTTTTCCTCACTCTTAATTTTTTCTGAGAAAATTACATTCTGATTCACTTCAAGTGGATCGTATTTTTGTTCAGGGTTGTAAAAACTAGATTCATCACCAACATATACAATTTCCTTTTTAATTGGCATTCTACATTCATCAGAAGCCATTATTAATTACCGTTTATAAGTAATAGTATACTCTTTTCTATTATCAGTCTATTTACGTTTCTTCAAAATTTCAGTGACGTAAGACGTATTTATAAAAAATTTGAAGGAATAATCAGTGTTGCCGCAACCATATGAAAAAAGTGCTAGAATGCGAACGAAAAGAGTACTAAACAAGCGAGTTCGTAAATTCATCATATATCCACCCTTTTTCATGCTATAGTTACAGTTTTTCATCATTTCAAAATCTCATCCCAACAATAATCACAAATAACTGGTTGACAAGAGGTGGACACCAAAAACAAAATGACAATTGACATGAAAATACGTAATCAGTTTTGTATTACAGAACAGACCCTGTAACCATTTGTAAAACAAGTATCAATTGACACGTTCTATCAGAAAATTAGGTCAGTGATAATTACACTCTGAGCATATATTCCAGCATGAGCTCACTAATATCGTGCGACTTCAGTGTTACACCGACATCTTGACTGAAATTAGATAGACCTCATGTGATATCAGTGCAGCACTAGTGTACCACTACTTTCACCAATATAAAAAATTGCAGTAGATGAATTTTCGCAGGTAGATTTGGATAAGACCCCTTGGCGATAGAATTTTCATATCAATGTGAGTGGCGACATCTATAGCAAATGACATGAATTCATTGTTTCTAGGTTCTGCTGGCTTCGATACACGGAACACCCATTTCCCGATTTGCTTGTTATTGTTTTTGAATATTTCCGACCTCCGAATAAAGGAAGGACCTATCAAAGGATTTGAAGTTTCATCTCAAATATGGAAACATTTCTGTTTTTGAAGCTTGAAATCTAATACTTGAAATAATTCAAAATAACCAACAACAAATAACCAACTAAAAAGCAACTTGCTATTTCAAGTGCTAGACCCGTAAAAAGGACAAGGCCGTCTAGATTCAGTCATGCTATTCAAATCTCAGAGTAATATTTTTTATTACTCTGAGGATATAATCCAACGCCCTTCGTGGTTTCAAGCAGGGGAGTAGTTTTCTGATAGTTGTCAGTCCATTAAGCTACAGCGTAGATAATTTGAAATGTATCACGTTGCACAACAATCGAAATAAAAAATGAACATCATACAACTCACTATTCTTACGAGTATTGAAGTGAAATCATGTGATACATTCTCATTTTTTTTGTATTGCTACAATGAATTGCGTAATTTGAATCATAGAAATTCGGCAACCAACTACGAATATTATTTTAATATCTAAACAGATTAGTTTCTTATTGAGAATACAAAAGGTCCCAAAATTGGGCCTTGAGGCACCCCAAAGTCAACTGTCGAAAATTTTCATAACATCACAATAAAAACTGGTACTTACAACATACCTACAAACCATCAGTGCAGGGAAGCCATAGTGATCTAAACTAGAACCTTCACTCTTCCTAGTATATATTCCTACTATGTAGTTATGTAAACCTCGCAATAATAGTTACTCTTTGGACAATGAAACATTTTCTAAGTTAATGGCTTCAAATGTTATGGTCATTAACCCCTTGATAAAGGGTAGAAAACTCGCCAAAATTACTTTTTTCATTTATTGAATGAACCCCATCTCTAGGTAATAATAACAACGTTCTCATTAGTAGACTTGCCTCCAATAGTTTTCTTCGACCGAAACTTGTGTTACGATGACGTGACATGTTACAACACTACTCCAGAACGACTGACCGACCAAAGTTTTGTGCCTACGCGAGATAATTTTCCTCATTGCGTTGTGGTCGCCGTCGCTTGACCGTCGCCATTTTCGTGCCCGCACACTGATACGAGAATAGTTCCCATGTTGTATCTTACATCCAAGTGTTGCCTTTCTTTGTAACTTGAGGTGTAACAATAATGAATGAATGAATGAATACGTTTATTTAGGAAATCCTAATATACATACAATAATAATAATAATATACAATAATAATAATAAATCAGTAAACAATAATAATATGTCCTTAACCAATAATAATAATAACTAATAACTAGAGTCATACATATGACTGTAACCTAACAATGTTGAGAAATAAAATAAAATGACTACTTCTAGTTCTAATGAATGAAATTGGATTACACTGAAACAATTTTTGTCCAGTATAAATTTATTCACGCTATTTTGGATGGATTTTAGACATAAATCACATTTTCCTAATATGATATCCAATTGGCTGAGATTTTACATTTGATTTTACATTGAAATATTTAGCAGACATAAACATTTTCTTTAGAAATTCAACAGATATAACAGCTATAAAACAACAGATCATCCTCTGTCTGTTACAATTACCATTGTAAATTTCTGATACTTCCATGACAAATGAGACTTTCCTTTTGTCTTTTTCTGCAAGGCAACCAGTTCAAACCAGACCATAAAACCAAAGCATTTGTAATCCAACACTAGATGGCGCCATTTGACCAGTCTAGCACCACTGATGAGACCTATGTCATGTCAAAACATGCTGCATGGTGCTGCATCAAGTGCGTTTTTGGGCTCTTGTTTCAACTAGTTGCCTTGCAGTTGTATTTGCGCAGCAAAATACACTCCAACTCTCTAAGGCTTATTCAAATTCGATCATTTAATTATTATTCCTTCTTCTTAACAAAGCTGACTATTCTTTTGTTGTGAGATCTTCCAGAGATCTGAAAACTGTATCTGGAGGAGTTTGTTGTTGATTCAAGGTAGATATTTTGCTCTCGAAGAGGCAACTAAACCATTTTTTTGCTGCACCACCTAGTCTCCCAGATTTTTTGATAGAATCAGGAGTTAGGAAGCTGAAAAGCTCTCGCTGATGACCTGGAAGATTTCATTAGTAATACCGATGAGCTCAGACACCTTAAGAAGAAGCTATGAAAGCACAATGTGTGATGCAGAGGTGCTACGACGAAGAAGACATGTGATAAATGAATTTGCTCACCATTTTTTATCAGAAAGAAGTAGAAATGTGAACATATTTTGTTTCCAAATAAATAATCTCTCTACAAAAGTCCGTTTTCATAAATGAATTTTTTCATGCTTTCTCAAAGTATTTCTTTGGATAAAGGACTTTGAGCATATTTTACACTGAAACGTTTTTTCTCCTGTGTGAATTTTTTCATGGTATTTCAAAGTCTCTTTTCGATTGAATCTTTTAGAGCACACTTTACACTGAAATGGTTTTTCTTCGGTGTGGAGCTTTTCGTGGACACTCAAATTACTTTTTAGAGAGAAATCTTTTGAACAGATTTTACACTTGAATGGTTTTTCTCCAGAATGGGTTCTTTCATGGTACTTCAAAGATGTAGTGTCAATGAATGACTTTGAGCAGCTCTTGCACTGAAATGGCTTTTCTCCTGTATGAGTCCTCAAATGCCTCAAGAATTTTGAAGAATAATTGAAAGACTTCAAACAAAATTTACATTGAAATGGTTTTTGTCCAATGTAAGTTTCCCCACTAGTAACCTCTTCACCACTGAGATCTCCTGCATGAACTTTTTCATGTATTATCAAACTATTATTTGCATTGAATGACTTTGAGCAGACTTTACATTGAAAGGGTTTTTCTTTGGTATGCATTTTTTCATGCGAATTCAAATTGGATATTCGAAAGTAAGATTTAGAACAGAGTTTACATTGAAATGGTTTAAGACCGGTATGAGTCATTTCATGGTATTTCAAAGAAGTACTACTAATGAATGGCTTTGCGCATATTTTACACACGAACGGTTTTTCTCCAGTGTGAATTCTCAAATGGACTTCAAGTTTTCTACTCTCACTTAAGGATTTTCCACAATATTTGCACTGAAAGGATTTTCCTCCAGTATGTCTATTTTCATGGCGTTTCAAGGCACTTTTCTGAATAAACGATTTTGAGCACATTTTACATTGAAAAGGCTTTTCTCCTGTATGCGTTTTTTCATGATATTTCAATCCAGCACTTTTACGGAAAGATTTTGGACACATTTCACATTGAAACGGCTTTTCTCCAGTATGAACTTTTTCATGTTCTTTCAAATTTTTATTTTGTCTGAATGATTTCGAACAGATTTTACACTGAAACGGCTTTAGCCCAGTATGAATTTTTTCATGTTCTTTCAAATGATAATTCTTAGAGAACATTTTTGGACAGATGTTACATTTAAATAATTTCTCCTTGGTAAATTCCATTTCCCCATTATGAAGATTTTCTTGGATTTGCAAATTTCTTTCCATCTCATTTTTCCCAATGAGACAATTTCCAGCAACAAACTCATTTTCAATTAATGCTGATGGTATATGTTCATTCATAATATCCTCTTTCGTCTCAAAGCAGTCTACCTCTGTTTTAATATCTCCAGGATCTGTAAAAAATAATTATAATTATGCCACTTCATGTTCTACTACTTTATTTATGAAAGGTCACAAAACATATATAAGAAATAAAATTTTTATATTTTTCAGTTGAAATGAAGATTACATGCAATTTAATTACAAAATGATGTGGGTTTGAGGTTTTATAAGTATCTCAGATATGTCAGGATCCTAGTTCATTAGAGATATGAGGTCTTTATTGGGTAATTGTTCAACAAAATAGAAATATCTGTCTTGTAACTTCCAGAATGAGCCATATGCGTTTTTCGTGAACTTCCACAAAATTATCAGATTGGGTTACTTGACCATTTTACACAGTAAAACTGGATCCAAAAACATTTGGATCCAGTTGTAATAGAATTACAATATTACGATATAACATTGAAAAAAAAATTTTCAACAGGAGATTCAAACTGAGCAAAACTTCAATGACTTTACCACTAAAGTAAGTGAAATTCTCTGTCTCAATATGTTGAATAAATTTGCAGTGTTCGTCCCATATCAGTGGTTACCACATTTGAATAGATAGTACAGGATGTGACATCCTTTATAACAAACTTTGATTAGTATTCTTATTGTTGTTGAACTAAAACTGTGGAAAAACGAAGTAAATGTGTCAAAACCTGACAAATTTTGATATCGATATCTATTTCCCCGAGCCAAGATAGATGAGGTTCTTTCTGAAACACTCTAAGATCTGTATTTCATTATAGAAAAAAATTGATAAATCAACGATTGATTTGTTTGGAATAGAAGGGTTTCTAAAAAAACTGATTTAAACACCAAGTTACTCGAAAAACCCCCCATTAGAACAATTTTTGTGAAATATAACGTGATGAACTCTCTGAGCCGGCCACTCGTGACAAACAAAGCAGCAATAAATTTATTAGTCAATTACAGCTCAATTTACTGACAATAATAAGAAAATGAATGCAGCTCCTATGCTTTCAACAACATCATAGGTAACAAATCTCACATCAAATTCCTTGGCATGGTTATAGACAACAAATTGAAGCAAACATTCAATGAACTCTCTGTTTAACATACAGAAAAGAGCGGTAAGATTATTAGCGGTGACAAATTGTATGATCACTGTAAGCCACTTTTTGTCAATTCAGGAATACAGGTTTCTGATAATCAGTTCTCCAAATGAGATTATATTAAACACAGGAAACATTCAATAAATTTTACCTGACATTGAGTCAAAAAGTTTCAAATCCTGAATCGTATCTTCTTCGCCTTGTACAGTTTTTGTAGATTCCATTTCAGTTTGACAGCAACACATTTTAAAATATTTGATGCTGAAGCAATTCGTTGAACTAACAAAACCTCCCCCACACACTTCACAAAATGAGCTTTCCATTAGTTCCTCCTTACAATTTTCCATTTTGAGATCCTGATGAACCATATCAATGTTTTCCTCAATTTTAATTTTTTCTGTGAAAATTTCAGGCTTGTCTTCAACTGAATCATATTTTTGTTCAGGGCTGTTGAAATCACTTTCAGTAACAACAGATTCCACTTCTCTCTTGATTAACATACCACATTCAGCAGAAGCCATTATCGATTACAGATTGATGTTTGAAGAAATAGTTATCTGTCGTCGAATATACTTAATATCACAAAGCACGTATATGTATATAAGTAATTGAATAATTGATTTTAGAATATATTTCTTAATAGGAATGCATAGTTTCTAGCAGTGACTTAGTAATATGGACTGGCCATTGAAGAGAAAACACAGACTCCAAAAACTAAAAAAAGATAAAGAGATCCATGTTTTGGCATTGTCACTCATACACTTGAATAGTAAATTCGACATCACACTATTTTATGTGCTGCATACCTTCATTGTAAACATTTAAGGTTTTCATTTATTTGTGAAGGAGTTTTCTACGACTATTTCTGTAGTTTTCAGACTTTTGCATTTCTAGTATACAACCCATCTTACTGATGACGTAGTCACAAGCAACTTCTTTTGTGCAGTGAGGTCATTTCCAGAACTTTGTTCCGCAGCGAAATGTATTTGAAAGTGACGTAAAGGCCAATAAAAATCGTCATGTCTCTGATTACTAGTCACGATTTAAAGAATAAATATACTCGTGACGACTCAGGGTTTGTATATAGGTGGAAAGGTTCACGAAACATAACCGACTTTGAAAGGTACCTGAAATAAGGGGAAATTCGAGTTCCACCAATGACGTCACGTATGTGTTGAGGCGAGTTGCAAATTTCGCTGAAATTGTTAAGATAATTGCATGAAATTAGATTTTTGGAAGCTTTCGAAAGTCTGAAAATAGCAAAGTGTGGCATAAGAACTATGATTAAACTTTTGAAAGTACTCAACTTTCTTAGAATTCTAGTGCTTTTGTAGAATGATATTAGCTGGGAGATAAAAACTACAGTCCACACATTTCAGAGACATAATCTAGGGTTTTATTTTCAATCGAGTAGTTAACATTCCATTCCATCATTTTGCTTGTAAAAACTTGTTTTACATTTTTGTTATTAATTTTCAATGAATGTTCTTGTTAAATTATCAAGATTTTCTTGTATATCCTAACGGTAGAAAACAGATATTAGGCATATCTTTATAAAACTTCAATTCGCATATTTAAGAAATATTGGAGAATAATTACGACTTTTATTCAATAAGCATAACTGAGAAAATCAACCTAACCTGTGTTCAAAATTAACTTTCATCTGTACTCTTGAAACTGTCACAATACTCAAAACAATAAATCCGTTATTGATCCCTCCCCATAAATTGTCACACTTTGAAAATTATCTGCAATACAACGCTATTAGTTGTTACTATATACCTAATGAAATCAAACAGATGAATACAGATTTAGTTTTCCACAATGAAGCAAGATTCCGTGCTAGGAATTGCACGTTGAAAGGCAAGGCCTCGTTAATCCTTAGCTCGCACAAGTTTCTACTTCTGAGAGTTGTCGTTCGTAGAGGAGCGACAGCTGAATAATCAGATTTCAACAGAATAGAGGGGTGCTATTATAGCTACCAAGAGTTTCTGAGTGACTCTTTTATAAATATAGTTGTGCCATTCTTCATGTGTCTGTGAGTTTCTGAAATGTTCAAGATCTTCCTCTTGAAGATGATCAGTTGGTGATCGAAACACGTGTCGGCGTGTTAAAATAACAGTTTAGTGTTGGGAAAAAACTCCAGTAATATTGATTAACCTTGTGATCATAAATATCAACTACTGTTATTACTAACTAGCGGTTTTTTCAGTATGACTTTGTTAATGTCTTCTCAAACTGCTACCTCGAGTGAAAGATTTTGAGCAGGTTCCACACTGAAATAGTTTTTCTCCAGTATGAGTTTTTTCATGGTATTTCAAATTATCTTTTCGAAGGAACGATTTGGAGCAGATTTTACAATGAAATGATTTCATTCCGGTATGAGTTTCTTCATGCAATTTCAAATAAGCACATCGATAAAATGCTTTCGAACATATTTTACATTGAAAAGCTTTTTCACCAGTATGAGTTCTTTCGTGCAATTTCAGAGAGTTTCTATGGGTATATGACTTTGAACAAATTTTACACTGGAAAGGCTTTTCTCCAGTGTGAGATCTTTCATGCAATTTCAAATTTTCCTTCCTACAGAATGACTTTGAGCACATTTTACAGTGAAAACGGTTTTTTTCTGAATGAATTTTTTCATGCACTTTCAAGTAATCATTTCGAATAAAAGTTTTCGCACAGATTTTACACTGAAAAGGTTTTTCCTTAGAGTGAAGTTTTACGTGCGACTTCAAACTCCCAGCTCGACCAAATGACTTTGAACAGACTTTACACTGAAACGATTTTTTCTCAATATAAGTTTCAGTATCAGTAGTTTTACTGAAATTTTTCAAGCAACTTTTCTCTTCATTAGAAACAGTACTTTCTTCATTTGAATTTGAAAAGTATTGGGCGCTAAATGGTTCATTGATTTCCAGTGTTTCACATTTCACAAAATGATAATTTTCAACAGAAGACTCGTTGAGATATAACATTGAAGATGTATTTTCATCGATCTCTTGTTTCATCTCATAAGAGATTTTTTCTTCCTTTGTTTCAATAACTCCCAAATCTGAAAAAAAAATTTCTATCATGAATAAAATAGAATGGAAATTGAAAATAACCAACAAAATTTGTTTTTGGAAAAATAAACATTTTAAAAGACTTGTCTAGCACAGCAATACTTAACATGAAAGTATTTGTTTCCATTGGTAGAATTTAGTCAAGTCCACTTGATTGGAGGAAACAGAACAAATGTCCTTAACACACACGTTGTTGAAAATGAGATGTTGTATATCAATGCGCATGGTTTCGCTGTTCTGATGGCAACTAATAATACAGAAATACGTGACTTGTCTGTATTTTTGAGTACTTGACACAAGAACCTTTTTGAGAATTTATCAAGAAGAAAAAGATGTTTTATCTCTGGTAAAGAGTAAAAAATGTATCAGTGTTGTATATTTAGTTACCTCCTCTCACGACCTTGGATTCAGTTGGATTTTCTTCTTCATGCCAACTTTCTAATTTGATATCATGAAATGCAAAATCGATGACATTCTCCTGTTCAGTTTGTTCTGAATCAAATTCATAATTTGAATCTGTAACTTCAATGTCATCATATTCTTTTTTGACTGGTAGTGCTCCATTTTCAGCAGCGGCCATCATCGATTCAAAGTAAATTTAAAACAAAACTTTCCTTATCTACCATCATTAGCAACCCATCCAGTACCAGTATTGTTTACGTTAATCACCAACATAACCTAAAACGTCGATGACGTTAACGCACACTGTGGTTAACCTACGTCTTTCATCTTCTTCTTATATTTTGTCATTTGCTTTCTGACAGTGCATTTAGCTAGTCCATCTCTTTAGACATCAACTCTCAGAAACCTACATATCTCAAGGATTTTTATTACATTAACGACTAAAGACAGCAAACTCATCGCGTATATACTCTGCACTCAACACAATATATATCAGTAAATTCATTACAAAATTATTAACCACCTGATAATTTAATAGCAAACCATTCGAATAAACAAAATTCTAACCCATCCTCACTAACTTCAGACGATACATGAATTATACAAAGGAATGATTTTATCTAAAACAAGAACTTTTCCCAATCACCAGAACTGCAATATTACGCGCGTTTTACTAACCAAGTTGACATCTTCAGGAAGTGAAGAAAAACCTCTCTTTTGGATTTATCTTACGCCAGAGGTTCCAGGTTTACGTTTCATGACTGACTTCATATTATGTCGTTTTGAAGTGAATAATATTCCAATTGGTAGATACTTATGGAGAATAGTGCGGATATTCCTGTACTTCAAATGGAATTAACACATCACTGAATAATGTTGAGCAGTAAAAAAATCTGTTTTTCCGCTGTCGCCCCCATACGAACGACAATTCTCAGAAGTTGAGAAACTTGTGCGAGCTAAGGACTAACGAGGTCTTACCTTTTAACGTGTGATTCCTAACACCTAATGTAATAAAACTGTACAATTTATTGGTAGAATATCACAGAGATATATGAATTCCCTCTGTAATGTCCTACTAAAGAGGGAAAGAAGGTCGTGGAAAGGAATTTCTCTAGGCTCCTGTTTGTGGTAAATAAAATTTCTTTGTTTTATGATATTTTCATATTACCTCTATGTCACTACTCAAACAAAACAAGTCTTAAAAGATATATAATCATTTACCTTTTTCCCTTTTTTGTGGGCAGCTGAAACTTTTTCTAACAGAATGAAATAATAACGAATGAGAAGGTTTTTTACCAGAATACATTTTTTTTCAAGACACTGAAAAAATTAAAAAAGCAAAATTCGTAGTAGTAGAGGTTCTCCCCAGTACCTAAGTTTTCTTTCAGGGTTATTTGAAATACCACATACAATTGTATGATTTTTAAGGTTTTCCATGAAATGGTTCATCACCGGTATGTCTTTTCTCATGCCTTTTCAAATTACTTCCTCGCATAAACAACTTTGAACATATCTTGCACTGAAACAGTTTATCTCCGGTATGTGTTTTTTCATGTAATTTCAAAGAATAATTATAAATAAATGATTTCGAACATACTTTACACTTAAATGGTTTTTCTTCAGTATGAGTTTTTTTTTCATGGTATTTTAAAGAAGAACTATGAATGAATGATCTCGTACACTTTTTACACCGAAATAGTTTCTCACCAGTATGAATTTTCTCATGCCTTTTCAAATTACTCTTCTGCCCAAATAACTTTCGACATACTTCACATTGAAATTGTTTTTCTCTGGTATGCGTTTTTTCGTGTAATTTCAAAGAATAAATATTAATGAATGATTTCGAGCACAACTCACATTGAATCGGTTTTGGGTTGGTATGAGATTTTTCGTGGCATTTCAAAGAAGAATTATGAATGAATGTTTTTGAGCACATTTTACATTGAAATGGTTTTTCTCCAGTATGAGTTTTTTCGTGGTATTTCCAAGAATATTTTTGATTGAAGGTTTTTGAGCAAAATTTACATTGAAAAGGTTTTTCCCCAGAATGATTCTTTTTATGAACTTTCAAACTACTTCTCCGTGTGAAAGATTTTGCGCAGATTTTACACTGAAATCGTATCTGTTGATCATTTTCGTCAGAAAAGTGCAGCGCTGACGTTATATTTTCATTGTTAATCCTTTCCTCCTTCTTAGAGATTGTTTTTTCCCCGATGCCAACAAGGATGTTTTCGGAATCTGAAAAAATCATTCACATCAAACAGACATACACAAACAGACATAACATTCATGTAATATATAAAATTTCACTTCATTAGAAAAATTCACACTAGCAACAATTTCACAGAAAGTAACGTGCTCCTTCTAGCTAAAACTAGTGAGAAAAAAAAAAAAGCAATAAAGTATATTCCACAAAATTCAACTGATAGCTCATGTATTGTCAAAAACAAGTCTCTAACGTAATCAGAGCAAAGTTCTAGAACCGAAGATTAGAAATGAATAACTTTCTCTAGAATAAATGAATAAATATCTTACCTGTAGTAAAGTTAACAGGAGATTCGAAATTCTGATGAATGTATTCATCTTTCATTTCACTGGATTCGATTCGTTGTTCACATTCCCAACTACAATTCATATGGTCTTTACAGCTTAAAAAATCTCTTTCGCTAGAGAAACCTTCACAATGCAAGTCATTGCTTATTTCTTCTTTGCAACTTTCATATTTGAGATCGAAATGTACATTCTCAGTGTCATCCCCACATTTAATTTGTTCTGGACTACATTCAGTTGAGAGTTTCATTTCAACTGTATCAAAAGTTTCCCCAGAACTGTAGATGTTTCCTTTGTAATCCAAATCAACTGGTTCACACTTCACTAGATTTATCTGAAGTTCATCATGAACAGAATCGACCTCCCCTTTAATTGAAATTCTTTCAGGTTCTGTATCAGTGAACATTTCAGATTCCTGTGGTTCACACCTCAGCAAATTTCTTTAAACTTCGTCAGAAACAGAATCAACCTCCCTTTTGATTATAATTTTCCCAGGTTCTGTATCAGTAGTCATTATCAATAGTACGTCACTAGGACCTAGAACTATCCATTAAAAAACAATTGTTTGTATTCAAATTGCAACTTTGACATCAATATGTTTACACCTCTATGGGAAATACCGAAACTAACTCAAACGGTAATACAAAAACATCATTTACTTATAATAATTTTAACTAAAAAAAAAAGTTCGTAATTCAGAAAATCTCCATAACTTCTTTTCCATTTATTCTCCTAGTACTCTTCTGAAATTAGTACTGCTCTTCACTAATAATCTGCTAATAACTATCTCGGATATATTTCAATTTCGAATAACTCCGAATGTGTGTGCTATGTATTTATTCTTGAAAGTAATAGTGCAAAAATCTAACATAAATATTATTCATAAAAACCTAAAATTATTTCATTTTACTCTAAAAAGCACCGTTTTGAAACAATAGACATGGAAAAAATGCCCCTCTAGAAAGGCCGTGTCTAGAATTCCTCTAACGTGAATGAATGAGCTTGCCGGCTCTGGAAGGATATTTGCCTCTAGTCAATATTTGGAACGAATAGGAAAATATTATACCCGTCGAAAGGATAGCCGATTCTTTCCAGGATAAGTGGACATTTCCATATAGAGAATACCTTAAGCCAACGACCATTTTTAATAGCAAGATCACCTTTCATAATTTTCTCAATAAATTAAAGTCAAAGCATTGCATTATCAGATTGCCTTTTGACCTATTTTTCTCCTCAAAAACTTCCATTATTCCCTTGCAACATGCCTGTAATATGAATCATCGGTCTGGTCTCTTCATTATTGAATTTATATTAAATGGTACTCAAACTACTGAAATTTGTTCATCAATGATGATGCTAATTATGGCCTAAATGAATCCATTACTAAAATGATTAGGCTAGTAGATAAAAATAGCATATTTATTGATTCATTTGTGAACTCATTTAAAAATCAACTAAAAAAATATTACCCTACTATTGACGACACTCGTAAATTCAGCATTATAAGAAATAGTATCTGATACAACTACTCCCATACTGAATAACTTGGAAGTAATTGTTTTCTATTCAATTTGTGCCCTAAGTATTCGCGATAGAATGTCTCACCGATCAAATAAAAGATTTGGAATTCGAATTCAAAATCACTTTATTATTTTCATCATTATAACAATATTTAACTGTATACAGATTTGTATGAGTTTCACTTTCGCAACTTGAAACTCCTATTTCAAAAAATGTTTTAAACAGATTTTTCAATGGAACAATTTTTCTCCACATGAACTCTTCCATGTTTTTTCAGATCTTTATTTGTAATGAATGACTCTGGACATATTTCACAAAGAAATGACCTCTCTCTGGTATGCATTTTTTCATGGGATTTCAAATTAACACTTTGGGTGAAAGATTTTGAGCAGATTTTACAGCGAAATGGTTTTTCCCCAGTATGTATTCTTTCATGTCTTTTCAAACCATTTCTATCAGTGAATGATTTGGAACAGATTTTACACAAAAACGGTCTTTCTCCAGTATGAATTCTCTCATGGAGTTTCAATCTATCACTTCGGCTGAGAAATTTCAAGCAGATTTTACATTGAAACACTTTTATCCTACTGTGTATTTTTTCATGCCTTTCCAATCTAGCGCTTTTGTTGAAAAATTTTGAGCAGAATTTACACTGAAACGATCTTTCCCCAATATGAATCTTTTCATGTCTTTTCAAATAACTATTATGATTGAATGATTTGAAACAAATTTTACAAAGAAATGGTCTTTCTACAGTATGAATTCTTTCATGGAGTATCAATCTATCATTTCGGCTGAAACATTTTAGGCAGACTTTACAACGAAACAGCTTTTCCCTAGTATGTAATTTTTCATGTTCTTTCAAAATAGCACTGTGTGTAAAACATTCTGAACATATTTTACATTGAAAGTCCCCTTCCTCAGTATGAGATTTTTCATGTCGTTTCAAAGAAAAACTGTAAATGAACGATTCTGAACAGAATTTACAGTGAAAAGGTTTATTTTCAGTATGCATTTTTTCATGATTTTTCAATCCATTATTTCTGATGAATGACTTTGAACAGACTTCACGAAGGAATCGCCTTTCTTCAGTATGGTTTTTTTCATGGGTTTTCATATTGTTTTGTGTGAACGATTCTGAGCAGATTTTATAGTGAAATGGCTTTTCATCAGTATGAGTTTTCCCATGTTTTTTCACGTGACTATTGTAATAGTTATTATTACAAAGAAATGGTTTTTTCCCAGAATTAACCTTTTCATTCTCTTTCAAACTTTCACTTTGTGTCAATGATTCTGAGCAGATTTTACAAGAAGATATTCTTTCAACATGATGCTCCTTTTGAGAGGTCTCAGATAATAGATCTTCATCAAAAACCTCCTCTTTCTTCTTCGGTATTGTTTTTTCGGCAGTTTCAGGAAGCAAGACTCCAGAATCTGTAAAAAATAAACCTACAAATAACAAATATACAATAAAAAGCATGACGCAACATAATTTACATGACATTGAATCAAGGATTTGTATATTCTGTAACGAATTATAGTTGAAATAAGTACAAAAGAAAAACCAAAAAAGTATAATTATTACAACCTATGACGTTGGTAATACAGGCTGACATAAAATAGGATAACAATAAAAAATAGAGTTTTTTTTAATAACTATTGAATATTTTCACTCTGATTACGTCTTTTAGTTATTTTTTTTGGTGGAGTCCCAATATTATTTTTATTGAGGCATCATGCCATATGATAAGTCTAATTTAGGGCTGACGGCGTTTCAATTTTTCAAAAAACTAATTTCAAAAACCAAAACAGTTGCAAAAACTTCAGTGAAAGCAAGAAAACTCGACAAACGGAAGACGTAGAGAAGTACTAATATTTAACATAATTTAATACTGCTGTAAGCTTGGTCATAAATGAAGGATATAAACAATAATAGTAATGGTAATTAGATAACAATTTCACAATGCAGATTCTCTAAAAAACCAACACAACATTTCAAAACAATAAATATTGAAAATTTGTAGAGTAGAAATTTAAGAGAAGTATCGAACATATTTCCAGACACACCGAAACAATCGTCAGATAGCAGATACTCAATATCTCCTTACGAATAGTAACATGAACACTTTTTAAAAAATATCAAATTTTTGGCACTGTCGTGGCAATACCTATTATAAAAAGTGTTAATAGACATATTAGTCTGATGATGCAGGAAAACTTACAAAATATGCGCTGAGCTGGAATTGTGAAAAAATAATGATACAACTACCAATGATTCTCCAAGATGCACCTAAAAATTGTCTTGGTAGTTTTGCGACAAAGTTTTTTATGAAACAAATCCTTCATTAATTATCTGGCGTCCACCTTTTGTGTATGTTGGAAGGTAATTGAATATTTCCAATTCATTATTAATAAGAGAAATCTAATAAGACATTCCACAATGAACAAATCAAAGCTATCCATTTGGTATAACAACATGAGCTAATTAAAAACAGAGCTTAATGTGAGACATATGATTTCAATAATGAGAATCGTAATTTTTATGTTCAAAAAGTGACCTGCAAGAATCTCGTGGTTATGCCTTACACAGAAAACGTATTGCTCGTTTCTGTATTGGTGAAATTGATTGCAGTGCAGGCGGTAGTCTTCAACATGTACCAGAACACCGCCACTACAATGTCTATTTAATTTGTGTAATATCTGTTTTTAATCAAGAACAACCATGCCTCCTTTCAATTAGTTTTTCTATAATCTTCACAAGTGTTGCTATCAAAGGGATGGGGGACCAACATATCTATCTACATGAAGGGGAATCTTCGAAATCTTCTTCAATGAATAAATGACATGTTTATTTATTGAACTAGTTTGTTTTCAAGGGTAGGAACGATGATTTTTACACTAGGTCCATGTAGGAGCAAATGAAAGTCAAAGCATTACAAATAAAAGTTGATAGTTTGTTATATATTTCAAAATGAGCAAATGCAATTTTGAAGTGATAATAAGTAGTCGACTTTTACCTGTAAAGTTGAGATTATCCAAATCTTGAGTTACATATTTGCACTCACTTTGATTGTTACAATTATTGTAGGGCCCTTCGATACCAAAGAAGTTCACTTGGCCAAGAAAATCGTCATAAAAAAAGTCGTCGTTTATTTCTTGCCCTTTGCTACTGCAAATCAATTCATTTAAAACTACATCAATGTCCTTGCTGTTAATATCTCGATAACATTCGTTGGTCGACAAATTTGGTTCAACTGCAGTATTTTTGTGATTAACAAGCTCCTTTTCTAAACTAGAAACATTCTCGTATTCTTCAAACTCAAAATTCATCATGTTATTCTGGAAACCATCATCCTGTGAAGAGTTTCCTTCCAAAATTTGATCCATTCCATATTTACAACCTTCCCCTTTGCTGTTGCAAATCAAATCATTTAAAACTACATCACTGCTTGTGCTGTTAATATCTGGATAACAACCGTTGGTCGCCAGATTCAGCTCAGCCTCAGTAATTATTTCATCATAGTTGATGTGGGCATCACTTTCTAAGTTTGAAACATTCTCAAATGGTTCAATTTCAAAATTCATCATATTATTCAAGAAAACATCATCCTACAAAGATTCTCCTTTACAGAACTTGTCCATTCCATACTCCATAATCAAATTTTACAACAAAATTTCGTCTTAGGACAGAGCAAATTATTTTTCAAAGAACAATTTTCACTTCGGGGATAATTGTAGAAAAAATCTGCTAATTGACCATGATCGACGCCAAACAGTGATGCCAGATTAAAAAATTTCAAAAGCGGTAAATTGGCTATTCAAAAAGCGGCAGATTTGAATATAAAACGGTCCATTTTCTCATTTGGTTGTTTTGTTAACTTTTCATATGCTCATTTCTTCAATGCTGCCTCAAAACAGCAGAAATTTATCAATATACACCTTATAATTTTGTTCTGAAGTTTTTTAATTGGTTTCAATTAGGAATTTGTGCCATTCCCCATACTGATATAAGGTATTCAATTTTGGAATATACTGATTAAAAATAATTCAATTTAAGGTATTTTAGGAGTACATTTCTTATTTGGAGTAAAATTCCAATTATGGGAGCTATTTTGTTTATTGTTTCAATGTTTTGTCGCCATGTTACATTTTCATCTAGAATAAATTTTGATATCTTGTACACTATTTCCATTGTAAATTAGGCTGGTGTCATCGTCAAACATTTGTAATTTACCAAATAAATTTACTGTAGCCAAAGAATTGAAATCTATACAAGAAACAAAACAGGTCTAAGTATTGATCCTTGCGGCAAACCACATATTTTTTTTAACTAATTATGTCGCCAATATAGATAGACAGATATATTTATTTGATCATGTTATGTATAAATTACTTTTGTGACAAGTCAGAAAAACAAATAGATGCAAGGTACAAAGTTAGATACAGCTCTACACATCTTATGCGAATGTGAGGCACTGAATCACAGGTACAAAGTTTTCTATAAAATAAAATAAACAGTAAAAATTTGTAACAAGTTTACAGGGTACATTATAACATATTAACAAATTTAGGGTGAAGTTTCGTCGAGCATCTTCCCTGCGTCAAAAGTGTCTACGCTATAAAAAACTCTCTGGAAACGATTATTCAGATAAGTTTCAATCAAACCCAAAGGAGTACCTCTTACACCATAATATGAAAGTTTTTTGAGTAAAATGTTGTGGGAAACACAGTCAAAGGCCTTTGACAGGTCCAATAGTGAGACCCCCACAACTATCCCGGACTCAAGTCCCTCAACTCTGCCTCTGACAACACTCATAGTAGCATCGATGGTAGAGCAGTTTTCACGAAAACCAAATTGATAACTGCAAAAAAAATTTGTTGATTTCGAAATATTTGGCGAGTCTTTTCTTAATTAATTTTTCAATGATTTTTGAAAGGATATTTGCAATTGAAATAGGTTTGTAGTTATCGAACTTTTTTTGTGGAGAGGTATCACTTTTGAATATTTGAAGATGTTAGGAAAATTATCTGATTTAAATATTAGATAGACATATTGCTTTCTATTTATTAAATAATTTTGAAACCAAGTATAAAGTAAACCTCGGATACCTATATTATGCATGAATTTCAGAAGAATTTTATGGTCCACAGTATCAAATGCTTTCTTCAGGTCTAATAAAAGAATTCCACAGTTTTTGTTTGAATCTAAATCTAGCTGTAATTGGGTTATGGCATCTAATACTGCGGACTATTGTGTCACAATTTTTTCAAAATCCGTATTGCCCATCATATTATAATTTTGTCTTTTCAAAATATTCAAACAATCTAGAATGTATTGTTTAACAAGAAAATGTTCAGACTTGACGGGATAATTAGTGTCGTTGATATCTCATAAGGTAAAGTTTTTTAGGTAATACTGATAGTTTTAGTGTTTTGAAATATTTGAATTACCAAAGAGAGTACAAAAAAATGTAACCTCAAACACTGAAAATACTCAATACAAATCACTTACCAGTAAACGCCAAACAGACATTTATTTTAAATGTTTGAATATTTTAGAGAATAGAGATGTGGGCAGTTTCATAGTGTAGGCAAACAAACTATGGTTATTTTTTGCTGTTTACTTACATGTGAAATGTCTACATATCAACTTCAACATCCTCATTGTCTTATTTACAACTTCATCATACCCTCAACGAAAATCTTTGATGTTTGAGATGATCGATGTAAGGGAAGGGTAACTAACTTTCTCAAGAAATATTGAGGTTGGCAGAGTATCATTTACTAAACATGGATCCTTGTGAATGTTAATAATCTTGCAAAGTTTCAACCAGTTCAAAAATTTCGAGTCATACTAATTGGTCTACAATTTTGAATATTAGTATGAGAGGACTTTCACATGTAAGGAATTCAAAACCAAATAGTTTGAATAATAGTTGTTTTGAGTAAATTTTGAGTAAAAAAATGAGGGATGCCATTTGCATATTGTTTCTTGCAACACACAATACTGTTCAAGACTGAATTGCATTGAATATTAAGGGCATAAAACTAGTATCAACTGAAAACGACTTACCTGTGAAAAAGTCAAAAGAAGACTCCAGATCCAAAGGCATTTCTTCACTTCGCCACAGCATCCGACTTATATTGTATAATTACAACTCAAGCTGAAACCTTCAGCTCTGGAGAAATTCAATGGACTAATGAAAACCTTCTTGTGACAAATTTGGTTCAACTGCAGTATTTTTGTGATTAACAAGCTCCTTTTCTAAACTAGAAACATTCTCGTATTCTTCAAACTCAAAATTCATCATGTTATTCTGGAAACCATCATCCTGTGAAGAGTTTCCTTCNAAAAATAATATTTCAAAACGCTCAATGGTGCGAACTTGTTTCCTCTTTTTCATAAAAGAGGATGTATGCATCTCCACTCACAAGCGATTTTGGTGAAATTGGTGACTCGTGTGAATCATTGTTTTCGTGCCACGTGCCAGTATAAGGATGTCTGCAGAATGCTGTATAATGTCCGCTCTAGGTAGACCCACTGTGATATAATGACAAGGAGTCACATTTCCTGCTGCATAATTATTCTTATCTAATAATAAAAGTTAAAAAATATTAACTTAAGGTGGCGTCACTGTTCCCAAATACAATTATCGACCTTCTTTGGGTATTTTTTACCTTCCACAGTGTTTTAAGTTGTTTGTGAATTAGTGAGAGTGAGAGTTTTATCATTAATTACATGAGATACTGGTGAACAACTGAAATAAATTATTTCAAACGAAACCACAATAAAAACAACGCTCTGTCACAAAACATTGTGGTTTTAGTCAGTAATAATTCTCATTCATTGGGTACTCGTGTCTATAATAATGGCATCAAAAAATAATATTATCAAATTCACAATTGAACAACACAAAACACAGCCATTAATAATTTTAGGTCAACATTCATAGAACACACTAGCGCCACCATCGGTAGAAATGTTTCCCTATACTTCAGGACAGAAAATGTTTATTGCGGATTCTATAGAATAAAAGTTTTATTGTACAATTTCAAATCAAATTCATAAACTATCCTATAAAAACAAGAGACAAGCTGAAACCTAATTCAATATCCAGAAATATTGATATTCCGAGGAGAACGATCTTTAACCATTACAATTTCCTTAATATCCGATGAATTTGTTCATGATTATTCAAGTCACTACTTTAACAAAAAGATTTTAAACAGAATTTACACTGAAATGGTTTTTCCCCTGTATGTATTCCATAGTGAACAATCAAGTCACTATTACGAGTGAAAGTTTAAACAAATTTCCCAAAAAAATTATCTAGACGGTTTATCACCCTTGTGTATTTTCTCGCGGTTTTAAGGTGATCAATGCTTTATCAACCAATTCAGTGGAAAGCCATCCATTATTTTTCAGAAATTTTTTCATAGGGATTATGACATTCATCTATTCTTTCACAAAGATGCCTTTTCTTCTGCATGAATACTTTCGTGGCGTCTTAATATACCTCTTTGATTAAATGATTTCAAGCAGACTTTACACTGAAATGGTTTCTGTCCTGTATGAACCAGAAAATGACTTTTCAAGTTCTGCGCTTGATTGAAAGACTTTGAGCAAATCTCGCACTGGAAGGGTTTTTCACCAGTATGAACCCTTTCGTGACGCCGCAGAATACTATTTTGATTGAATGATTTCTCACAGAATTTGCAGTTGAACGGTTTCTCTCCAGTATGGATTCTTTCATGAACTTTCAAAGAACTTAGCTGGGTGAAAGATTTTGAGCAAATCTTGCAGGAAAATGGTTTATTTCCCAAATGGAGTTTTTCGTGAACTTTCAAGAAACACTTGTATTTGAAGGATTTCGAGCAGATTTCGCAATGAAATGGTGTTTCTCCCAAGTGACTCTTCTCGTGGGTTTTTAGTTTTTTTTCATGATTAAAGGACTTGGAACAGATATTACAATGGACTATTTTTCTCGAGTGAATCTGCTCATGAACTGATAAGTTATCCTTACGATTGAAGTATTTTGAGCAGGTTTTGCACTGAAATCTTTTCTTCCCTCCACGAAGAGAGCCAACCAAAGCATCCTTTGCAACAAGACATTTTGAAGGACCTGAATGAAAAAATTGACAATTTAATTTCTACTAATTTCATAAAATTGACACTCGCCTTCAGCACTGGTGGATTTCGAATAATTTTGTTCTTTACAGTTGGATTCCGATGGACTGTCACATGTTTCTTCGTCGACAGTTTTACGTCTGATTCCTTCGAAATTACTAATATCTACATCGATTTGAATGTGTTCTGAGTCTAATTTTTCCTTCTTTACTTCCTTTAAATATTCTTCACCATCTTCTGGATGGATATGATCCATTGAATATGCATCAACACCATTGCATCTTTCAGTTGGCTCCCCCTTCACTACTACTCTTTCAAAAGCTGTTTCGAAATCACTTTCCAGTTGTTGAATTTCCACCATTTCACTTCTCTCTTTCTCCATTGTATGTGACATGTATTATTTATTTTTTTTAACCACCGATCGATGTCAATATCAACTGTCAACCATCACAAAATTTTTCATTAGTTCGTTTGTATTTTGGTGATGAGTTGTAATGAAAATGGATGTACTCAGATGATTGAAAGTTCGAAATGAATATGGGGGAAAATGAGAACCTTTTTCCCCTATTTCAGCCATTTTATGTGATTGAAAAAGCAATTTCGAAGGAATTTATTGATTCCAAGAAACATTACAGGTTTATAGTAGAGACAATGTAACATACAATTGGAAAAGCACATACTAAAAATAATACAACGAAAAAAAATAAACAAAAAAACAAATAAAAGCTTGTGAAAATAATAAACTGTCAATCTATTTCAAGATATATTCTTTTAGTTGTGTTTTGAATTTCGTATAATTCAATTTTTTTATATTGGTATAATTAGACCAAGTTGAGTAAGTATAGAAATATTAATACAAATCGTAAAACATCAAAAACGAAGTTTCAAAAATTCAAACTAGTTCCGAAAGTTCTACGTTTGTATCTTCCCTGCGAACAAGTCAACCTTCAAAAATCGACATAATGAAACAAAATAGGTATTCACTCAACACCAAGGGGATATGTTGGTTAACAACATAAATATTTGAAATACCTATTCAGTTGAAAAAACAGAAAGAGTTGAACTATTTCAAAACACTCTTCTTCTTTTACAAAATGAAGTGTTCTTATTGAAAGAATGATATCTAATTTCGATTTTCCAGTATCCATGTGATTTGGAATATTCTTGTGAAATGTACCATTGAATGCATTCCATTGTAGTTGTCACTATCGTTTTTTATACTTTTCTTTCGTTTTGTAAAACGTTTATTGAGAATTTGAATCATTTCACAGTTTAATGATGAACAAAATATAGCTATTATGCAGTTTCCCACATTCTGTGTCACAATAGAGGAGGTTATATGGCTCAACAAGTTGCAACACGTGGAAGTTACAGATAGTTTTGCCAAAACTCCACCACAAGATTTTTGGTCTGAGACAAATTCAAATCCTTTGTCTTATGACAGACAATACATCAAAATGGTCAGATTATCGAAGAAGTTTCTACGGAATCTTAGAAAAGCTTGAATCATATCCGACTAGATTATTTTCATTTCTAAGATTAAAATTCGTGAAAAAACGAGTATTCTAAACTTTGAAAACTTTTCTCATCATATTCAACATAAAAATCCAAAATTTCCCAAAATTCTGAGTAATAGATTATCAATATTCTAAGACACACGTATATTTTTTCTCCCATGGAATAGCATCTAGTATACGCATGGGAGTATAAAACTTTTAAGTATCACAGATTGTATGACGAGAATTGGGAAGTTCATCGTTCAGGTGCGACGTCTATCGGGCATATCAGAATTAAAACAGATGGTAAAAGAAAGTCCCGTCAACTGTTTTCATAGCAATCAGTTTGTTATGTTTGAAATAGTTGCAACAAAAATATTACTCCCGCAAATTCACAATTGAAAGACTCACAAAAACATAATTTACGTTTAATTTTTAGTTATTCCGATCCCCTGCTTATCGTTTGCACAGCGCCATCATCGATGAAAATTGTCTTTAAAAAATGCTTGGGGGTCTGAAAAAAACCTCCTGTCAACTTTGTGGCGCTGTTATTATTGAGCAGACTACCTAGTAAATAAAACGGTAATCTATATAGATCTCTTAAAATTCCTAGCCTTGTTTTCTATCAAAATCATCTGCAATTTGATTTTAGTGTTTAGAATAATCGTAATTTTCTTGTTGACTTCCAAATAATTTTCCATGAATAATATTTAGCAAAGGCGATTTGAAATAAATCATTATGCACCTGAAAAACTTAACTTCACTTTCTTGTTTTTGAAAAAAAAGTTTAATTTTTATTGGTAACCCTGCACCCAGTTTCAGATATAAGAATGCTGAAACAAATTCAAGACTTTGTGAAAAATCTTTGGGATTTCTACTTATAGATGAAAGTGTGGAATTTCAAAAATGAAAAAAAAATGAAATTTACATGAGTAAATATCATTTACAAAAATGTTTATATCATGTNAGAGTGTTTCCTACTATAGGAATCTCACATTATTTATATTTTTTATTTAATTGAAGGATTTCAAACACGATTTATAACTCAACAGTTTTCTTCTTTATAGATTCTTCAGCAACGACTGAAGCAGGAGTATTTGTCAATATTTTCAAGGTTGACTGCTTGATTTCTGGAAGACTCCATAATATTTTGACTTTCATTTGATTTCTTGCTGAAATGGTATTTCTATCATGTGAATATTTTCGTGGCGCCTCATCGTACTGCTCTGATTGAAAGACTTTAAACAAACTTTGCACTGAAACGGTTTATGTCCTGAATGTATCAGATTATGACTTTTCAAGTTGTGTAACCTGTTGAAAGATTTTGAACAAGTCTCGCACTTGAAAGGTTTTTCCCCTGTATGAACCCGTTCATGCCGTCTCAAGATGCTCATTTGATTAAACGATTTTTCACAGATTTTGCAGACGTAGGGTTTCTCACCAGTATGGATTCTCTCGTGAGCTCTTAAAGAACACAGCTGCGTGAAAGACTTTGAGCAGAATTTGCAGTAAATCAGTTGTTCGCTGTTGTGGATCTTTTCATGTACTCTTAAATTACACTTGTATCTGAAAGACTTCGAACAAGTTCTGCAGTGAAATGTCGATTCTCCCGAATGAGTCTTCTCATGCGCTTTCAGCTTACTTTCGTGAATGAAGGACTTTGAACATATTGTACAATGGAAATCCCCTTCTCCTCTGTGATTCTTCTCGTGAACCCTTAAATAATCTTTACGTTTGAAGCACTTCGAACAGAATTTACACTGTAATCGGTTTTCGTCTTCTTGAATCGCAACAGGTTCCACAAAGTCATCGTTTTCAAAACAGGAGAAGGGTCGTAATCGAAAATCTGAAAAAGAAAAATCTTAATATTTTGGTTATCTAAATTGAAAGGGTATATTTTTAGGAGAGATTCATTTTTGGAAAAGTTTTTGGCCTTCTATTTCTCCATCTAATTGTCCACAAAAAACTTTTTTGTCATGTTGACACTTGCCTTGAATATCATCTTGTTGAGACTCATTTTGCTTTTCGCAGCTAATTTCTGAGGGCTTCTCACTTCTTTCTTCCATGAGAGTTTCATGTTTGGAATCTTCAAAATTGTCAGTATCAGTGTTTAATGGTGAATCGTCACAATCTGTTTTTTCTTTTTTTACTTTCAAATCATATTTTTCTTTTATGTAGTTGACATCCACCAAATACATATCATCATCATTATTGCACATATCATCATTATTGCAAATATCATGCGGTTCCTCTTTCATGATAACGCTTTCGAGGCATAAATCTTCGCAATTGTTCTCTTCGTTTACTGGTTCGCTTTCCATTATATTATCGATTATTCATTATTTATCCAGAATCAAGTATCAAATCTAATATTTAAAAAAATATATGTAGTTGTTGACAGTGACAAATCTGTCAACATTAGAACATATGTCGTCAGGGTTGCCACACATAATTCATTTTCATAATTCATTTGTAAACTATTCATTACGATTTGAATCAATCAGAAAAGAAATCAATAGTTAATTTCTCACTTATGAAAATTACTATTCCTCATCAAATTTTCCTAAAATATAAATCCCAGTAGATATTTTGAGTAAAATAAATATTAAATCCATGTTCATCGGTGTATGGAAGTGGCGAAAGAAAATTCGAAGAAAACAAAAAGAAATATGAAATATCTCAAAATGACTGTTGGCAGAAAAAAATCTCAATTCGAGAGATAAGAGTAAAACGATACTCGATTGGCAAAAACATTATCATTGTGATGCGGTATGAAAACATTGGCCTACAATGCTCTTCGTTGTAATCCTCTCTCCTCACGAAGTTGATTCTACTTTGGTACCCTGTAACTACGATTTATTGTATAAGTTTGAAAATGTCTTCATAGGACGAAACTGCAGTAACGTTAGTTACAAATAAAATGAGTAAAAAAACATAGTTTCACTTCTCATTTTTCATTACATAATTATTTTTGTTCAAGACATCACTAAACATACGCTAACACAAATACATTAAGAAATAATACATTTTGCAGCTCTCTGTTGAACGGGAAACCAGGTAGATAGGAAAGTTTGGTAAAAAAACGGAGGTAGAAATTCATAATGATAGTACAAAATAGAGTTCTTCTTCCGTATTATGGTGTATTCTACAATTTTCAGTCCTTTTCAGTCAAGGTTTGAAGTTATACTAGTCGAAAGGATTACTCATTTCTATTCTCACACATTGTAACATTGTCTGTTGGGGTCATGTTGTAATGTATAGTGGATCTTCAGAGGTGACCAACGGTAGTATTCATTCATTTCTACCCTTTTTCAACTTTATTTACCGTGTTATATCACACAAATTTATGAAACAAATTGTAACCCTCTAGTTTAAAATTTCACCGAACTCCAGAGTGATTTTGGCAATATAAAAGTGACTTCAAGAGTGTCTATCTTGATACGAATGATCCAGATTAGGAAAGTTGTAACATGTTCATGACAGTGAACTTTTCATTTAATCGGAGTGCGGATAGGTCGATAAAATTTTCTTTCAAGTTGGCTACACTGTTTGACAGCTCCACCCCACCATTCCTTCCCAACCTACGCAGCTCTTATATCATCAGCATCATCGATCCATTGGATCTCTTACGTCCATGCTTCTTGAGGGAGCTGAGTCTGCCCTAACTTTTTGTCAAAATTTATAACCTCTAGTAAATGAAAGAAAGACTGCTGTTATAACACAGCATTTAACAAATTTTTAATGCGCAGTCATTCTAACAGCGCTTTGATATATAAGTCTTTCAATTAGAGTTACTTATTCAATCTTTGAAGTGTGCCAACGCTGCTGGTGGTGAAATAGAATTTGCTTATCGAACTGGTGGAGAAGCTACTTTCCTGGATGGAAAGCTATTTGAACGTAAGTGTTACATTGATTTTTATAAATAGCGCGTATGCAGAGAACCGGTTTTAACGTATGTGAACAAGTTTGAATTCTGCGTTTTATGGCCTAATTATCTGGTATATGTTACTTTTGCAAACACCTGGATATTCAGATATAGTTACGACTATAAAAGGCATAGGTTCCAAGTTCAAATGCCATCACATAATTGAATTCAAACATGTCATGTAATCGATGTTCATAAAGATGACATCCAACTAACCCTGAAAGATTGAAATTGCGATAGGTTTTATTTCTGGAGTTCCATTTCGGATTTTTCAAAAATGGAAGCCACACCTTTGAGATAACTGGGGTGATGTTTCTTCATGCTCCCGTACCAATAGATAATTATATTCAAGTATGTATTTATAAACTTGGAGCTTCAACTTAATTTTCAACATTTTAACATTCGAATAACTTGCCAGGAACTAAATTTCACCATCTTTTCTACAACATTTTAACATCGATTTTATCTAATGGCGTTCCAGAGGCGTGCAAAGGGAGGTACCGCACCTTTCTTGAAATGCCAAATGGAATTTTAATATGAACTTAATGCTGTTTATTCTGTAACATCTCATTTGAAACCACTCTAACTGCATAACATCCGGAAGAGATCTTACTCTTCAGTTGTACAAGGTGTTCATAAAATTTCAACCTATCATCAATGAATACACCGAGAAACTTTGCGTTTAATTCATTTTGTAATATGGCAGCGTCTATTTTTCTTTCCACAACATTGTAGTATCACCGGCGAATAGAGTGTTACTATGAGATATGTTATAAAAAGGAAAACAATTTATTTGTGAATTAAGAGACAAAAGTAACTTTTTTCTTTGGGTTTGTCGTACAATATCCAAAATACATGAACATAACTTGAGTTTTATTTAAAATTAATGCCCTTGTTGGTGCCTTTTGCAGATCGTTTAGCCAGAGAAACGGGGAGTTCAGCAAAGAAGAAAAACAACTCCAATTTCGAATTCCGTCACCATCTGACTGGAAGAATCAGCTTGATATTTCAAAAAAAACTTAAACTGGGCAAAAACCATTTCATTGTGAAAATAGCTCAAACTCTATTCGCACAAAGACGTCGAAAGAACACGAAAGATCCCGTGCTGGAAAAGTTACAATGGAAATCCATGAAGTAAGATTTCCCAATGAAGTGATTATTCCTCGAAACGGGTTCTTGTCGCGTGGTTTCACATCACGATTCCTTGTGAAAGCTTTTGTCCAGCTTTTACAATGAAATGGTTTTTCCCCAGTAAACTGGGGAAAATCATTTCATTGTAAAAGCTGTACAAGAGGTTTCACTCCTAGAAGTAGAAAGTTAGTGTCAGAAAACTTATTGTTGGTAATTTTACTTCAAGAATGATAGCTTCTAAGGTATTTTTCTGTGAACAACGATCGACTTATCAATTTAGTATTAGAAAAGAGTTTAACAATCTCTTCATAATTAATCCAGTGCAGAATTGCAAATGATTTTATCAGAATGTCAACACTTCTATACAATTTAAAATGTGCATGTAGAAAAGTAATAAACAAATATTGAAACACAGATATGTGTACTTGTTTTTTTTTTTTTTTTAATAAGTGAAAGGTTCTGAAAAGCGGTCCGCTTTTATTTAACAGTGAGTAGAATACCAAAAAGTTCAAATTACCGATTCTTTGGGTGTGGTATGTCACAAGGTAGTCTTCTGACTACTTTTTGGAATTTGATTATAGCTTCATTAGATTTTCCATATTTTCATCTGCAAAATAATGAATAAGCTGTCTTCTATATATTCAGATTAATAAATAATATTTTCTGATGTGAATATTACTGCATTAACATTGCTATTTTTTTCAGTAATTATTCTTTCGAAAAGGTATTCATTCAGTGTATTTTTTATTCAATACGAACGATTTGCTGTTTAGAATGAGACAGCTCACTTCGTTAATTTTATACTTCTCACTTTACATCACAGTGTATTTTGGGTTGCCTATACTGTTTGAAACGAACAAACAGTTTAGTTTATGACAATCGTTACAACAATTTTATTAGGTTTGTTCTGCTTCTCTGCCCGTGCTGTTCCTAACAGTCAGAAAACGGAATACTGAATATTTTGTCGCTTTAACCTTTTCAGTCCACAACTGACTCACAGACTTCGGACAATTCGGAACAGTACTGACTGAGAACCAGAACAAACATATTATTTGAAATACTGTACTTAATCGAGTCAGTGGCGTAGAGACGGGGATTACGCATAATTTAAGTTAGAACATTTGTTTTGATATTTGTCGTAACAGGTGTTCCGAGTAACACCTGTTACTCGGAAACGAAGTTATGACACATGTTCATAAGTAAGTAATCACCATCAAAAATTAATGACATCATTTGAGATATTGTACAGGTTGATAACAACAAAAAGCAATCTAATATTATTAATTCTGAAACAGCACCAAGAAGTAAAATATAAACAATTTTAAACTCACGCCGGATGAAATAAATAAATAATCTGAACTGAATGATCAGAAACGTAAAAAAACTGAGTATATATTTAGGACTTCATGCAGCCTGTTAAAGGACATGATAGTATGTGACGTATAATGTTTTCATAATGAAAATGCTTGAGGATGCTATTGTATAGCGAAAGACATGTTAACGTGTTGTAAAAGTGTTTATTGAAAATCTCACAATATAGTGTTTTTTAAATCCATTGTTACAGACGAGATCTCCGGCGCCAGCCTTTTGAATTTTGAGTGGCACAAGACAGCCCTACACCAAGTAGCTACAGTAAAGAAACAGTGATCCAGGAGTCTGTGAGAACAAGACAAAATCGCTAGCCAAAAAATCACATTTTACATAACTTCGCAAAGATGTTTTACTATTTTAAGAAAATAAACAAACAAATCGATTTCAACTCTTTATTTAAAACCAAATCAAGTCTACTATCGCTAACTAACTACATGAACAGAGGGGCGTGCAACGAAGAGAGTACGGAAACAAAATGGCAGGGGTATCACTCGAAAATATTAGTCCAACTATTGGTGATTGAGAAATCCGATGGGCTGGCAGACCACACATCTCACAATGTAAGCCCTCCTTTACTTCTTCTGAGCATTTTTCAGATCATGATAAACAACATCAAGAGCATCTTCATTCTTTATTTGTTTTGGACCTACTTCATTCTTTGAGATAATCACTTTCGAGTGCATCTTCAGAGTTGTTGGTGTCATTTTCATTACCAAAATATTGTACCTCCTCTTTGATTGGCATTCCACATTCAACAGTATCCATTATCTAGTTTCAAAGTATCAAGAAATATATGAATATCACCAATAACCAGTGACATCATAATATGGACTGACCATTGGAGAGAGAACACTGACTCCAACATCTAAAAAGGGATGGTGAGATACCGTTTTGGCACAAGTCACTCATACTCGAACGTCAATTCGATGTCATGTTTTACGTGTTGAATACTTTCATCGTAAAAATTTCAATTTTTAGTTAGTATTCCTGAACGAATGGTCAATACCAAAAAAACATTATTACAAATACGACTGAAGTCATTTACTGTGCTCCATTTCATCATTGTTCAATCAGGTACACATTAACGACTACCAAATATGCCACCCATACAAATGATAAGTGCAAAATAACATATTCTTTTATGCAGTGACCAAATCCAAAACTTTGTGTTCCACCGTAACAACCAGTCCATATTTAAATGTTAATGTCAGAAACCAGTTTTTTGAGTAACTTTCCTGATAAGAGTTTCTGAAGACTGTCATAAAAGACAAATATCAGAAACGTTGTATTTTTCTATAGTTACATACACTAATACAGATTGAGAAATTATTTTTTATTCTACACGAGCGTAGTTATTGAAGTTTGACACGGCGTAAAACTATCAATGAGTTGAGTTGAGAGTACACAAAGCACACACAACGACACCAAGTGTCAAGTGACGAAAATGTCATTCATCACAGAACATGGAATAGGTATAAGCATCAATGGAAGAAAGAATAAAAACGCGCAACATCCGACTCAACCAGTGCTGCCGTTAAGGTACTATTGTACCGCATTCGGTACTATTCCATGATTTTGATACGAAGATACTACCCGGATCAATATGTAGACTATTCGGTACTATTTACTATAATCCCAATTTTTTACATTTTCACTCTCCATATATTTTCCAAATTTAAATGGATAACATTATTACACGTTTGGCATTACTGGCATTTGGTCTGAAATGACTTATGCGCATGTGCCATGCCCAGTCTTGCGCAGTACATTTTGGGTACTATTTTCTTGTAAATTTCGGTACTTTTTGAATTGACCATGCGGCAGCACTGGACTCAACACAAGAAAATTATTCTATTCTTGCAAGACACGGCCTTCATTGTTGGTTCCTAATAATAAGGGGCATAAGACTCAAATTTAATTCAAAATTACCATTAAAATCTATACTTCAATTACTATACGTATTATTCTATTTCGTAACTAACAGCTTCTTACGAATCCGCGTTTTGAACATATCCAAGAGTGCATATTCTTTGAATTGGGTTAATACCAACGAACAGAAAACTATAGGAAATAGTTTTTTATAAATTTTAACGGAAATGAGAATATGGAAGCGTGTTGGATTAATTTCGATCACACACACCTACCTTGTCTCTTGAAAACTCTGGAGATATTTCATACCAAGTAATCCCATGTACCACGTATGCAAAAACTGTCAGTTTTGAAAGACAGAGTTGACGTTTTACGATTATTGAAAGATTTCATACAAATTTCACCCTGGATGAGTGCTTAAGTGAATTTAAGACTTTCTTTATGTATAAAAGATTTTGAGCACATCTGACACCGAAACTATTTTTCCCCCTTGTGCATTTCTTTGTGTTTATTCAAATTACTAAGTTTACTGAAAGATTTTCTACAAATTTTACAACTGAACGGTTTCTCTGCTGTATGAGTTCTTGAGTGAATTATGAGAACTGATTTACGAATAAAAGATTTTTGGCAGATATCACACTGTAACGATCTTTTCCTCGTGTGAGTTTTTTCATGCTCACTTGCATACCTTCTATTAGCGAAATATTTTGAACAAAGTTTACATTTGAAAGGCTTTTCGCTTGTATGAGTCCTTAAATGATTTATAAGCTTTTCCTTATGAATGAAAGACTTTGAGCAGATGGCACACTGAAACAGTTTTTCCTCAGTATGAAGTTTTTTGTGTTGATTCAAATTACTAAGATCACTGAAAGATTTTGTACAAATTTTACAACTGAACGGTTTCTCTCCTGTATGAGTCTTTGAGTGAATTATGAGAACTGATTTACGAATAAAAGACTTATGGCAGATATCACACTGAAACGGTTTTTCCTCCGTGTGAGTTTTTTTGTGCTCACTCAAATATCTCCTATTAGTGAAAAATTTTGAACAAATTTTATATTTGAACGGCTTTTCTCCTGTATGAGTTATTGAGTGAATTACGAGACCTGAACTACGAATGAAAGATTTTTGGCAAACATCACATTGAAACGGTTTTTCCTCTGTGTGAGTTTTTTCATGCTTACTCAATTTACTAGCACTACTGAAATATTTTGTACAAATTTTACAACTGAACGGCTTTTCTCCTGTATGAGTTTTCAAGTGAATTACAAGTTCAGTGTTCTCCTTCATTGTATGTATCATTTCCTGTTTATTACTGTGGTTATTTTCAACAGAAAACTCTTTTTCATGCGGTGATACATTTTCATTGAAAGCCTCCTTCTCTTTTTCTTCAACGAAAGTTTCTTCCTGGGGTTTGAAAAAAAAGAGACCTGAAAAAATACTAGTATGTACTGTTCATTACACCACAAGTAGAAAAAAGTATATTCATTTGGTGTTGTGGTTGAGTGGAAGAGTAGCATAAGCTAAACTCCGCCAGTATAAATAAAGACAATTTATTATTATTTTATACAAAAAATACTGACCCTCGAAAAAATAAAGGGAGCCTTGAAAGTTTGCCTCCGATGATAAGCACACAGAAATCGTGAAAAACTTCAAGAGTATTAAATTTCATCTGGGAAAAACAAACAAAACAGAAACGATATTTTAGAGCACATGACAGAAACAATAATACAGTATTGGTGCTTCTTGATTTTAGTAGAGCATTCCATACTATTGAATCCAATTCAATGTTATTAATTCTCACAAACAGCTCACAATATTTAAAGCGGATAGGTGGGGTGCCACAGGGTTCTATTTTGGCACAAGTTGAAATGTGCCATCTACGCATCTCAACTTGCTCAATGCTCAGAATTTTAACAATATCAATTCCATCTTCACTTTTGATCTGTTCTGGTTCAAATTCATTCTTTGAGAGACTCTCTTCAAGTGCATCACATTTTTCTTCAGAGTTGTCGGATTCACTTTCATCTTTGATTAGCATTCTATATTCACCAGTAAACATTGTCGAATTTCCAAAGACATGTGGAGACAAGAATTGTTTTCAAAGTCAATATTATCAAACTAAGTTTCTGTTTATCAGTGACCACACACAATTGAAATAATCTGTCAATTATAGTCAACTTTTCGCGAAGTATTTAACAAATGCTATACTTAATACGGCCAGGGTTGCCACAACCCATCAAAAATGTACCAGAAACACGTAAAATGTTTTAGATTGGATACAGAAGTAATAAAAAATGAATCCATCGTATATATCGAAACCTTTTCTGTGCTTCATCCCATTCTATTTCAATCCCCAACTGTAGTGAAGGATCCCAAGTAAGATCGACCTTCACCAATTTGATGACAAGGTGAAAATTATATTTTGATAAATATGTTTGTGAATGTGTACCAGTAGAGTTGCCGTAAAAATGTGCATGACTAAGATCATTTAATTTTTTTTTTAATTTTACTGTGTTGGTTGCTAAGCGACTCACAGTCTAATCGAAAGTATACAATATTCGATATACTTACGATAATGCTTACAGCTTGTCTAATGAAGGAAGAGCTTTCTGAATTTCGTCATGATTTCGCCCACTAGATGTGCGTTCGTTAGAAAACTATAAGAACGAGAGAGAATTCTCAAGTTTCTTCCTATATTTGACAAGTTGTACCTTAGGTCTTTTATGACGCTCATGTATTCAAACCACTATTCGTATGTGATTCAAATACATTCATTCTGGCGTTGAAACGATGATTTGAAACGTATACATGATTACTCAAAACTAGCGTGAGGTTGGTCTTAAAACAGAATTTGAAGTTACATTACGTCAGTTGTCGATTTCTGTTTTATAAATACCTTGTAAGGATGTACCAAATAAAGCTGGAAAATTATTATATGCACAAAACTGATTCCAATTGAAGTTAGAGAAAATTGAAAAGTTTGTTTTCATTATTGAAATTGACACGAATTGAATCATATTATCAATGACGTGAGTGCGAATCGTTTTGAATACATGCTTGAAAACGATTGAACACCAGAAAACAGTGTCTGTTTATCACCTCTTTCGAACAAAATCACACGACAGCTGTTAGTGTCACACAATGCCATTTGTTCTTGCCCACAGAACTGTAAGTCAGAGTTATAGTTCTATGATTTTTGCCTCTTATTTTTGGTCAATCACATGGATTTTACCGGTATTACAGATCACCCTAGTAAGGCTGTCCTTCAACTATCTAACCCAGCTACTCGATATATAAAAGGATAGGAATAACAGGTTCTCAGAAATTTTTTGAAAAATTATTCCTTACTCTACTAAACTTTCTGTTCTTTCTAAAGAAAGAAAGAAAGCAACCAAACTATTTACAAAGATGTGTAGATCATGCAAAGAAGTAACTTCCAGGTCACAAAGCGAGAGAAAAATCCCTTTTAAAACAACTACTTTCAATCTTTTTATTTTTCCCTGATTGATTCGGGCGTTACTTGATGAAGATCCATTAGTAATTTCAAAATTACTTTCATTTGAACATTGACTCATACATTCAGTTTGTACTCCCAATCATTCGTTACAGAATTGATTCAGATATCATTTACAGGATTGCTACACAATATAGTACATGAAAGATGCAACATTTTACTCATAAGGAACACTGTCATCCTCAAAGCCGTACATGAGAGTTGTTTCAGAGGTTTTTTCTTTCGCGCAATTCAATGTTTCCAGTTTGTGACTGCAAGTTACTTCTTTGGATGATCTACACATCTCTGTAAACAGTTCATTTTGAAATTAGTTGCTTCTCTCCTTTCACTGGAAGTTTCCCAGATTTCTTGTATGAAGATGAAAAGTAGAAATCTAAAACCTTTCTTTCTCAATAATAATAATAATTGTAATTTATTGAAAAAAAAAAATACAATTTGGCGCAACTGGCTATCAACCAAAGTCCTTCCACCCCCACCCCTTTCAATTTAAACTGGAATGATTATTCGCCAGCATGAATTTTTTCATGTCTTTTCAAATTACTGTTTCGAAAGAATGATTTAGAGCAGATTTCACATTGAAATGGTTTTTCTCCAATGTGAATATTTTCATGCGCTTTCAAATTACCTCTTTGAATGAATGATTTAGAGCAGATTTTACACTGAAATGGTTTCTCGCCAATATGAATTTTTTCATGACTTTTCAAATCAGAACTTCGAATGAATGATTTAGAACAGATTCCGCAACGAAATGGTTTATCGCCAGTATGAATTTTTTCATGCCTGTTCAAATCGTTAATTTGAATATATGATTTAGAGCAAATGTTACATTGAAAGGGTTTTACACCGGAATGAATTTTTTTATGCCTATTCAAACCAGATTTACGAGTAAATGATTTAGAGCATATTTTACACTGAAAAGTTATTTCTCTAGTATGAATTTTTTCATGGATCTTCAAAGTGTGTTTGTTTTCAACAGATTTCGCATTAGTTCTTTCATTCAAATTCGTCGAGGTAATTTTTTCTCCAGTCCCTCTAATTGAATTTAAATAGCATCCTGAACTGATTATTTCATTCGTATCCTCTGTTTTATGCTGCTTTTCGACTTTTATTTCACATGATAACTTATTTTCATGGATAACCTCCTCTTCTTTACCAAAAAACGTTTCTTCCTGGGTTTCAAAAAGAATCAATTTTGAATCTGTAAAAAAAATACTAGTTATGTAAAACTTTTTACACATCATTACACATTTACATTATAACAGGTCAAAAAAAAATTTTTTTTTGGTTGGAATGCCTTGAAAACTAACATACCATATACCAAGAGATATTACTAATTTTGAACAAAATTTCAGAATGTATTTATCCAAATTGTTACAATAGCTACCTCAGACGTGTTCATACTGACTATTACTTCGACCCGTGTTTCAATCATCAAATGAACTAACCTTAAAAGTCAAAAACTGATAGATTCCAATACGAATGTTGTGTTCTGGTTCATTGCCCATAAAAAAAATAGAGAAGCAATCATCTCCTATGTTACGGAAACATATTGTGTTTATATGAATACACTTTATTTTTATGGAATAGTGAGTTTTTGCATTAAGTTTTTGTAAGTTAATTTATAAATTTCACTTCATACTAAAATAAATGGTACCTGAGTAGAAGCTAGGTTGTTTTAAATCTCGAGTCATTTCTTCATTTTGCATTGCATCGGACCCATTCTGGCCTTGACAGATACAACAAGATTTCCAACCATCAGGATTGAAAAAATCAGATGGAATAAGCAAACTTCCTCCACACACCTCACAAAGAGGACCTCCCTCTTCTCCTTCCAGACATCTTTCAGATTTCAGATCATGATGAACAATATCAATTCCATCTTCACTTTTGATCTGTCCTGGCTCAAATTCATTCTTTGATATGATTACTTTGAGTGCATCACATTTTTCTTCAGAGATGTTACTATCCTTTTCATCATCAGCAGATTCCACCTCCTGTTTGATTAACTTTCTATATTCATCAGTAGCCATTAACTAGTGAAAAGTTGAAAAAGTTTGTTTTCAAATATTAAATTTCCATTTTTCAGTAGTTCTTGGATAATTTCAAATTGACCTTCTTCTCCTTTCTCTTCATGTATTGGCTTTAGCAACTAAGGCTATCCGGCTAGTGGTGACAAAATTAATTTTAATTTTTTCTTTAAAATGAAAAGCATATCGTCGAATCCATTGAAATCCAGCCTGGTTACTGCTCCTGGTTATAGTCCTTTCACTGCATTATATTATTTAAACTTTATTTATAGCTCGCACGACATCTACGTGCAATCTTTGAGTCGTTGTTAATGGAACAATCATCCTCTGTCGCGATCAGAGATGAAGTCAGGGATAAAAATGATTAAAATACTAAAATGTTTATAAAAATCAGGGGTTTGAGATAAAAAGGTAAAAATTGAAGGCTATATGTATTTTGTAATGCTACATCATAATAAATAAATGCTTGGGGTGGAGCACCCTAATTTGGGATTAAACATATGCTGTGGAAAAGTGAGTTTCCAAAGGTTTCCTATGAATATTCATTCAAGCAAGAATGAATTCTGCACTCGTTTTGGTTCTGAGACTTGGCTGGCGCGAGTATAGCTTCTTCAAATTATACATCCTGGGGTTAATATAGGTTTGAGGTGGCTACCGCCGGAAAGTGCTGGATCTCAAAAATGAGAGAAGTATACACCAAAAACCTTGAAGATTTCTGGAAATAGGATTTCAATCAGAAGTTGTAAGGGTGCATTAAACCCTAGGGTAAAACCCTGTACTTTATTACTCTTCCTATTAAGGACGGTTGCCTGGGCGGAAGTGCGGTAGCCTGGTGAGTTGACATGGGTGGTCAGCTCCACCTACTCAATCGACCGATGTGCGATCCGATGGTTTGAACCGCAAGGCTGGACGATCGATTTTCACTTGCTATCATACGTTCCGACTTTTGAGAGATTCAACTTCTATTCTGTTTTACTATTTTGGATAAAATAAAAATACTGTGAAGAAACCATCACTAACCTTGTTTCATTTTTGTCATGCAACCATACAGTTTTACCAACTGTTTATCACAAAACTAAACAAAGAAACAACCAATGTTCGAACGACATTCAGTAGATGGCGACACTATAATGATTCGGAAATTATTATTTCAGCTTATTATCTTAACAGACAATTTCGGAAATTTAAAAGTCAGAGTTCTTTATCCAATGACAATCAATTTAAGTTCAGTAGAGATGCAAAACCCAATTAAAACTCTCAAGTGAACCATATTCCTGTTATATTGGTATTCTTGAAGCATTGTCTGTAAATTTACTTAGACAATGCTTGAAGTGTCTCTTATCCTGGTATAACTAAGTTGGTCTACACTGACAAGTGTTGAAAAGAGATACAGTATTTCTGTAGATGACGTCCAAACAAGAGCTTCTTATTTGGTATTTTTTTCAATTCCTATAAAATATCAAGAACCGTCCTGCGCCCTTGCCTTCGCAAATCAAGTCCTAGTAATTCAAACTGGGCATATGTAATGTTTTTTGGCTCTAAAGAACCGAGTAAGAAACAGTTCATCATATACAGTAACTCAATTATGTAAACCTTTAAATAAAAATATATATTCATTTGTGAAATGACCAAAACTTGTTTATTCAGGTAATACTGTAAAGGAAATAGAAAAAACGGTAAATGATTCAACTGAATCATGATCATTAGCTTTATTCTCATAGAAAATGTTCAAAATCTTCATATATGCATACATTCAAAAAACCTTTGACAGCTTTGTATCTAAAATTTACATTTCGTTCAGGAATGAAGTAATAGGATTTTCCAGTGAAATTAATTGTTTAGGTTCACATAATAAATAAAACCTAACTCGGTATAAACATATTGATATATTGAATATAATAATAATTATAGAATATTCACGATAATTTTATGTTACAATAGTTACACTATACGTTAGTTTCATCAATTGGACTAGACTATATGTAGGTACTGAACTTAAGTATACATTTTGTATTCTGTTAAAACAGGTAGATTTGAAAGAATAATCACAATATAATATCTAGAAAACAGGTAAACAATTAAATATGTTAATTGTCGACATTTTATTGAAAACAAGTTCAACAATTATGGCAAATGGGGTCTTGCTGAAACGTCATGATAATGTCAAAGACGAACGGATGTAAACCCGAGCTTATGATACCATCCATGAAGGGTTATGTCAGAATATATTATATAAATGATTTTTTCATTCTTTCTAAATTCATCACTTCCAATGATCGGTTTAGTCAAGATTTTACATTAAAATGGTTTCTCGCCAACATGAATTTTTGATGTCTTTTCAAATCACTAATTTGAATAAATGCTACATTGAAAGGGTTTTTCACCAGAATGAAATTTTTCATGCAATTTTAAACTTTTATCCAGGACTTTTCAAATCATAACTTGAAATGGATGATTTAGAGCAGATTTTACACTGATATGGTTTTTCGCCCGTAGAGTTTTTTCATGCACGTTCAAGTCGTCTCTCTGAATGAATGTCTTAGAGCAGATTTTAAACTGAAATGGTTTTTGGACAGTATGAATTCTTACATCTTTTCAAATCATAACATAGAATGAATGACTTGGAGAGCAGAATTTACAATGAAATATTTTTTTCGCCAGTATGGATTTTTTCATGAATTTTCAGTTTATTATTTCGGATGAAAGATTTAGAGCAGATTTTACATTGAAATGGTTTCTCGCCAGTATGAATTTTTTCATGATTTTTCAAATCAGAACTTCGAATAAATGATTTAGGACAGATTTTACATTGAAATGATTTCTCGCCAGTATGAATTTTTTCATGATATTTCAAATTACCACTTTGGACGAAAGATTTAGAGCAGATTTTACACTGGAATGGTTTCTCTCCAGTATGAATATTTTCATGCTTTTTAAAATCACTACTTCGAATGAATGATTTAGAACAAATGTTACATTGAAAGGGTTTTTCACCAGAGTGAATTTTTTCATGCCTTTTTAAAATGGATTTCCGAGTGAAAGATTTGGAGCATGTTTTGCACTGAAAAGGTCTTTCTCCAGTGTGAATTGTTTCATGCATTTTAAAATCACTTCTTCGAATAAATGATTTAGAGCAAATGTTACATTGAAAGGGTTTCTCGCCAGTATGAATTTTTTCATGTCTCTTCAAATCACTAATTTGAATATATGAACTAGAGCAAATTTTACATTGAAATGGTTTTGCACCAGTATGAATTTTTTCATGAGATTTTAAAACAGATTTCTGAGTGAAACATTTAGAGCAGTTGTTACATCGAAAGGGTTTTTCACCAGAATGAATTTTTTCATGAGATTTCAAACAAATTTTTCGAGTGAAATATTTGGAACAGATTTTACACTGAAATAATTTCAAGTCAATGTGAGTTTGTTCATGAGTTTTCAAGGAACTATTTCGAACAAATGACTCTGTGTTGATTTTATGAAGTGAGATCTTCGAAGCGTGACTGTTTTCAACAGATTTCACATTAGTTCTTTCACTTGAATTCGTCGAGATAATTTTGTCTTCTTCATGAATTCCAGTCCCTCTAATCGAACTCAAATAGTATCCTGAACTGATCATTTCATTAGTCTCCTCTATTTTATGTAACTTTCCTCTGGCCTTGACAGATACAACAAGATTTCCAACCATCAAGATTGAAGAAATCTGATGGAATAAGCAAACTTCCTCCACACACCTCACAACATGGACCTCCCTCTACTTCTTCCAGACAGTTTTCAGATTTCAGATCATGATAAACAATATCAATTCCATCTTCACTTTTGATCTGTTCTGGCTCAAATTCATTCTTTGAGATAATAATATAAGAATCATTTTCATCACCAGCCGTATCCACCTCTTGTTTGATTAGCTTTCCATATTGACCAGTAGCCATTAATTAGTGAGATGTAGAAAAACTGGATTGTTTTTCAAATATTAAATTTCAATTTCTGTTCTTCAGAAATGCTTCGACATTTTTTCACAATCTAAAAAATTTTCTTATTTCTCCTCTCATTTATAAGCCTCAGCAACTACGGCTATTTGGCCAGTTGGTATCAAATGTCATTCTCACTTTTTCTTTATAATAAAAAATAGCACTTAAATTTTTTTCCTGGGCGCCTCTTTCTCGAAAGACTTTCAGATAAAATTAACAAATCTATTATCGAACAGACAACCTCTTCTGTCGTGGTTGGAAAGGAAGTCCCCTTCTGAAAAATAAAACGTGATTTGGGGCTAGTGCATCGACATAACCTCAAGGTTAGGTTAATGAATTATAAAACAAATTGACATTAAGTGATGCGACCGTATGGTTGCCAACTGCGGTAAAATAATGACATTTGACAATAACCTATCTTTCCGAGTTCCTTCTGCATTTTCATTTTTGGTAACTGAGAACCTGATTACCAGAATATTTCCAGTCGTTCTATATGAAGTTGGGGCTCCAGAATGAAGAATCAGCTATGAAGAAATATAAGATGGTCTGTCCCAAAAATGAAAATGCAGAAGGAACTCAGGAAGATAGGTTATTTATTCATTAGCAAATGTCAGATTATTAAATGTCATTATTTTACCGCTATTGGCAATCGTGGGGTCGCATCACTTTAGTTCAATTGGACACAATTAGAACTTGGTCAGTTTGAACAATATAATGATTTGGAGAAACATATGCACGATTCATGTTTGTTTCACATGAAATTCTCACAGTTATTATTATTTACATAATAGAAATACAGTATTTATGTAACAAGAAAACTTTACTAGGAACGAATTGTGGTATTGAAGTATAGCAAATAATTGAATGAATCCAAAAAAAGGAATTTTCTCAATCCAGAACTGCACTTCTTTTCTCGACTCGCGTTTCACCAACCAAGTTCAGGAAATGAAGTACTCTAAACCTGTAAATCAATTGTTGGTGTTATATTGTTATTATTATATTATATTGTTGTTATACACCAAATTCTCAATGTGATCACTTTTTACTTAGGTAAATTTATCCTTTATATTATTTTCGCCATTAATATCTGTATTATTTTGAACGTATAATTTATAGTGCTTTCACGTGCTTGGGTTCATTTGAAGCCTCACTTTTATATTTTCAACTAATTTTTAAATTGTAGTGTCATCCCCAAAGTATGCACCATATGGGAAACTTATTTAATAAGGGTTTTTCGACAGAAAGTTATTCTTGATATAAGTTTGTTCATCCAACACACGTAATATTCGACGAGCCTTCAAATATTTGATTTTGAGACGAGAGTAAAATACTTGTAATCAATTTAAGAAAATAGATATTTCGAAATAAAATTTCGAATTTTCTCTTCCAAAGTACCTACACCGTGGGTTCTGATAAATGCCTGCCGAAAAACAAGTACTTTCCTGGCTAATGCCATGCTGGATATCGAATTATATCCGACAAACATCATGTTTTTCATTTCTCAATAACCTACTTTGAGTGAGACTTTGGGCAGTATGAACTTTTTCGTGTTTTTACACTGAAATTATTTTTTGCCAGTATGAATTTATTCATTCAATTTCAAGTTACATCTCTTAATGAATGACTTTATGAATTTTTTCATGCGATTTCAAATTACTTTTTTGAATAAAAGATTTGGGGCAGAATTTACACTGAAATGGTTTTTCACCAGTATGAATTTTTTCATGCACGTTCAAATTATATTTTTGAACAAAAGATTTTGAGCAGATTTTACACTGAAACGGTTTTTCGCCAGTATGAATTTTTTCATGTCTTCTTAAATTACTTTCGTGATAGTATAACTTGGAACAGATTTTACACTGAAATGGTTTTTCGCCAGTATGAATTTTTGTATGTCTTTTCAAAGAATCACAGTAATTGAATGATTTGAAGCAGATGTTACACTGAAACGGGTTTTCACTAGCATGAATTTTTTCATGCAATTTCAAATAATTTTTTTGAGCAAAAGATTTGGAGCAGATTTTACACTGAAATGGTTTTAAACCAGTATGAATGTTTTTATGTCTTTTTAAATTGACATAGTAACTGAATGACTTGGAGCAAATATTACACTGAAACGGGTTTTCACCAGTATGAATTTTTTCATGCAATTTCAAATTATTTTTTTGAACAAAAGATTTGGAGCAGATTATACAACGAAACGGTTTTTCGCCAGTATGAATTTTTTCATGTCTTTCCAAATCACCTTTGCGAAAGAATGCATTAGAGCAGAATTTACACTGAAACTGTTTCTCTCCAGTATGCATTTTTTCATGTCGATTCAAAGTACTACATTGTTTGTATGATTTGGAGCAGATTTTACAGTGAAACAGTTTTTCACCATGAATTTTTTCATGTGTTTTCAAATATTTTTTTTGAATGAAATATTCAGAGCATATTCTACACTGAAATGATTTGTGGCCTGTGGTTATTTTTTCATGTAATTTCATGCTACTTTTGAAAATTTTATGATGAAGTGGCATCTTCCCTGAAGACATATTTTCAAAAGATTTCACATCAGTTCTTTCATTCAAATTGTTTGACTGGTCTTCGTTTTCCTCATGAATTCTACTCTCTTTGACTGAATTCGAATAATGTCCAAAACTGAGTGTTTCAGTGATTTCCTCAGTTTCCTTCTCTTCCTTCCCAATAATTGTTTCTTCTTGGGTTCTAAAAAGAGAGGTTCCAAAATCTGTAAAAAATAATTTTATGAAGAGCAACTTATTTCAATACATAGTTACATTTATGATAGGTCACAAGAAACATTATTTTTAAATCAGAATATTNTTTTGCAACAAAACCATTCCATAGACTTCAGTTCTTTAAGATTAGTTGTGAATAAAGAACACCACCACTGCGCCAATTCACTGCTCTATAAAGTTTCATTTATTACATTTCAATTTAATGAGTCTGTTTGTAGAATGTGAATGTATATAAGAAGCATATACTAGGTAGAATTTAGTTCGTATTAAACACTTCTGTGAAAATCTCATATAAAATAATTAGTTGAATAGGATACCATCCCATTCATTGTAGCTTAGCTCCTCAGATATAATTTTCTACAAGAATTTAGAACAAAATGTTAAAAATAATTTTTTTACGGCACCCGTTTGAATTTTTCGTTCATTCTTCTGTAACCATTAGTAAAATAAATGTGTTACCTGAAGTAAGTTGTTTCAAATCCAATGTCATATCTTCGCCTTGCATAGCATCAGGCCCGTTCTGGCATTGACAGTTAAAACAAAATTTTGAATAATCAGGGCTGAAGAAATCAGTTGGACTAAGCAAACCTTCTCCGCACACCTCACAATGTGAGGCTTCTTTTACTTCTTCCAAGTACCTTTCACATTTCAAATCATGATTAACAACATCAATGACATCTTCACTTTTGACTTGTTTTGGCTCTGATTTATACTTTGAGGTGATTATTTGGGCTGCATTACATTCCTCCTCTTTAATTAGTCTTCCACGACTATCAGTATTCATTATCTAGTTCGATTTTCAAAAAAGATGGCGGGACAACGTTGATTTGTATGTCACCACTTATATTTGGGTAACTTTCCTCACAATCTGAAGAATTAAACTGAACTGTATCCTTGTGCTAATACGGTAAAAGAAAAATGAACACTGTAAACATTAATAAAAAGTACAATGATTTTCTTTTCAATTGAATCTGAAACGTATTAAACGCCTGTCACATGTACCTCGTATCTTATTTGAAACAGTGTTACCAACCGGAGTCGTCAAAATACTCACTAGGAGAGAGAAAAAATATCCTCACTCCGTTTTACCGCCTTCATTGGAAATTTCTCACATGGTAATTTTTTTCGAAGACATTTTTCATCAAATTCAATATGAAAACATCAATAATTTTGATTCATAATAAATAAAGCTCGGAATCCCAACATTCAAATCAAAGGTGTTTTCTTGCGTGTAATCGTATTTGAGCGTGTATTCAAAAACGATTCCCAGTGACGTCATTAAGATATAATTAAGATTCGCCAGAATGGTATGATTCAATTTGTGTCAGATGTCAAATCTAATGATAAAAAAAACGAACTTTTCACTTTTCTCCAACTTCGATTATAATCAGATTTGTGCAAGTAATCATTTTTCAGCTTTATTTTGTACATCCTTACAATTTCTTAAGATTATCTCTTATTGTGGAGTTCTCTTGTGAATCTCCAGCTTATCCAACTAATTAACAAACTCATGATCATGTTCTGGATGTATTTTCTTGTTCCCAAACTATTAAACCCAGATACGTGCTTCTTCAAGATACAGAAACGATTTGTGATCTGAAAAACAGAATCACTGTTGTAAATGTTTTGTTTGGAAATTCCTAAATAACTTGGGAAACTAGGCAATGAGAACATATGGAATGTAGTGAATGCATCATGTATATAGAATCGGTGGTAACCACTACAAAATAAAAACCACTCCATATGATGGATGCAGATGACAAAGTACTTATTACAGAGGAAAACTGTAATAACAGAAATTGACAATTTCTGTTTGGTCTTATGATGTCTTTTTTAATACAAACAGCACAAATAATTTAACTTTCCATACTCATCAAAACTATAATATAATAAATTGAAAGCCTCTGCTCTAACGAAAGACTCCTTATATTATAATGTTCTTAAGATGTTTAATCATCCACCTAGCCATTTTAAAATTTTAGAGGATAGCTGTTAATTTTAGAATCAGTAAAAGATTTATTACATGGTAGACCCTATTTTAGTTTAGTTCTGTGAGGATGGTTTTTCTAATTTATTTCAGCGTCTTATTTTTTATATGTACACAAAGTATAGTATACTGCATTTTTGATATTTTACACGTTTCTGGTATCGTTTTTTTAATGTGTAATAACTCTCTTCATTATCCATATGTAATTTATGTAAGCTAGCATGGGAAGCACACATAAATACTGTATGTTTGAAACTAAGCACTACATGCTATATAATAAAAAATCTGCGAGATAGTGTATCAGCAGACATCTTGAGACTATTATATTTTGGGATGGTACAGTCTACTTAACAATATGGCGTGATCTTCTGGGGGTCATCTTTCACTTTGAAAGGGCATTTGTAACTCAAAAAAGGATAATAAGAACGATTTGTTCATTATAAAACTGTGTTTTCTATTACTCAAATCATCACATTAACTGCGAAACTAAGCACTACATGCTATATAATAAAAAATCTGCGAGATACTGCATCAGCAGACATCTTGAGACTATTATATTTTGGGATGGTACAGTCTACTCTACAAAATGGCGTGATCTTCTGGGGGTCGTCTTGTCACTTTGAAAGGGCATTTGTATCTCAAAAAAGGATAATAAGAACGATTTGTCATGCCCATTCAACCACAACATGTAAACCTTTATTCAGAATCTCCAAATATTAACCCTTCCATGTTTATATATTCTTGAACTGATTATGTACATGAAAATAAAATGTAACCAAAATGAACTAATGAGGAATGAGACACTCGTATGTATAATACTAAGAATGAAGAAAAACTTCGACAACGCTATTCAGGATTATCAGTCTGTGAAAATTCACCAAAGCATATTGGTATCAAGTGTTTCAATAAAATAAGAGATTTGATTGATGTGAATCTGAATGACATTCTATTCAAAAATAGATTGAAAACTTTTCTTCTTGAAAAAGTATTTTATAATGTTGAAGAATTTTGTAATTCGTGATAACTCATAATTGTGAGACTGACTATTGTATTTTATGAACACTTACATTTCCCAAAAAATCTATATCTATAGTTGAAAAGATATTGACCGATTTTTTTTTTTTAAAAAGCTGAAGTTTTAACAAAATATTTATTGACAGTATCTCAACACATGCCAAGTTACAATATTCAATCAATTGAACAAAGAATTGATCCAGGAGACCAGCTGATGGTCTGGATAATAAATAAATACAAATTTAAAACATACACATACAAATAAAAATTATAAATATTTTTCTTTTTCAGTCTACACTAGTCAGAGTTCCTACGATTATTTCAATTTTCGGAATGTTATACTTGAAAAAAGTTACAAGACATGCTGATAAACACATTGATAATATAATGGACCTGCTATTTAGGAATTCTCTCACTCAATTTTTCAAAAAAACTGGCAATTATTTCTCATTGAGGAATTCGGAGAATATTCAACAAACAAGGGTTTTTCTTCTGCACAAATTCTCATGAAACTGAGTAACATTTTTTTACCCTAAAATTATTTCATCGGGAAATTAATTCATTGGAACTACTTTTCGTCCGTATGAATCTTATGGTGAGTTTTCAAATTACCCTCCGAAGAAAATGATACGGAACACATATCACAGTGAAACATTTTTTCTCCTGAGCATGTCTTTTCATGCCCCCTCAATGTATATGCTTGGGTGAAAAATTTCAAGCATATTCTACACTGGAATGGCTTCGCCCTAGTATGAACTTTTTCGTGAGTCTTCAAATTGCTCCACTGGGAAAAAGATTTGGAGCATAATTTGCATTTGAACGGTTTCTCTCCTGTATGAATTTTTTCGTGGGTTCTCAAATTACTCCACTGACAAAAAGACTTTGAGCAGAATTTACATTCGAATGGTTTTTCTCCTGCATGAATCCTCTCATGCATCTTCAAAGTACCTCCCTGAGTGAACGTCTTGGAGCATACTTGACATTGATAAGGCTTTTCGCCTGTATGGAGTCTCTCATGAACTGTCAATGAACGTCGCATAGTGAACGACTTTGAGCAGATCCCGCAAACAAAGGGTTTTTCACCTGTATGAACTCTCTCATGAATTTTCAATGCCCTTGAATAACCAAAAGATTTTGAACATTCCTTGCATTGATATTTTTTTTCTCCTTCATGATTTTTTTTATGATCTTTCAATGAATCGCGGTCATCAAAGGTTTCTGAACAAAATCTGCATTTGAATTTGTTTCCTGTATGTACCTTTTCGTGGATTCTCAAGGCACCTGGATGAACAAAAGCTTTTGGGCACATTTTGCATGGAAATGGTTTTTCGCCTGTATGAATCGCTAGATGATATTTCAGAAAGTTTTCCCTAGAAAAAGATTTTAAACAGATTTGACACTGAAATGGTTTCAATCCTGTATGAGTTTTAAGATGTTCTTTTAAATGTCCCTTCTGCGTAAATTGTCTTAGGCAGTTGTTGCACTGAAATATCCTTTTATCTACTGGCACTTTCTTGGAAAACTCTTCACTAAATATTGCTTCGTGTGGCTGCAACTCAGAATCTGTAAAAACAATATTCGGTTTGGTGAACTGCAAGTTTTTTTTATATCTTGCTTTTATGATTAGTGAACTTATTGGAGAATCCTAGTTTACCTGATGTCAGAGAGATTTACAGTTATAATGAAATGTTATACATTCGAAAAAAAACCTTTTCTTTATCTCCTGAAAACACCAACTTGGTTGGTGAAACATGCGACTATTGAGCTCTGGTGTTTGGGAATAGTGCTTGTTATGGAATTTATACAATTCAGGAGGTTCTAGTTTTATTTATCTTACATTCTGTTATAGACGTTGGTCAAGTTTTACATAAATTCTGTTTAATTTTTTAACTTGACTATGAGGAATGTGACAAGATTTCTTTTTCTGAACCAAAACTGTGAAGAAACCATTCTCGGTGCATGTATCATCAACAAAGGTAACATTATCGTATTACTAGTTCTTTGAAATACTCTTTCTTGGTCTCCGACTACCACCTGTCTGCTATTCAAGTACCCAAGAAATGAAGGGTTTACGAAAAATTACAAACAAGAAAAAAGATTACTTTGGGACTTTAAAATAACAGAACACGTCAATTGAGATAGTGACAGGTTGCACTCAAAATATTGAACCTTTTGTGTGTAAAAACATTGAATTTTCAATATATACTAACTTCACCGATATAAATGGTGTTGTTTACATCTTGTGAGGTAAAAATCAAAATCACTACAAGTTCATTGATCTTAAATGAATACTCAAGTTTGCCTAAAGTATGAAGAAAATATACACTCCAGGTTAGGTGACCTACTTAACCCTGCTTTCTGATAACAAAAACGCAGCATCTTCAATGAAACCCAACAGAGTAATTTCCTCACCTGGTTCAATTTTTATATCGGAGGAGTTATATTTCAGCTCTTGCTTTATGCAACCTGCACTCTTGTGGCTAAACAAAGCTGCCTCATTGTCAAAACTTTGAGTGCACAACTCGCACTTTGTAAAAAGCCCCTTGTAAGACTTCACATCGACTAATTCAGGTTTGACGTTTTCAAAATTAATAAAGGTTTCATCTTCTTTTATGGTCGGTTCAGTTTTGCAGGAAGTAGCTGATTGGAGGGAATTCCCTTTGATTGAGTATTTTTTCTCTGTTTTTATGGGTCCCTGTCCTTTGAAGTCTGTCTCATAATTAGAGAATTCTTCTGTCAGTTCGACTGGCTCAAGTTTAACTATGTTTCTTTTGATGTCTTTTTCACAGTTGATTCTGCTGTCAATTTGACTTGCAGATGGGTGGTCTGAGTTTACTTTCTTATCATTCTCCATTGAAAATTGGTTGTTTTTAAAATAATTTTCAAGTAACAGTGAATTAACAACAGTTAAATAAGCCTGATTAGTCCTCTAATCAGGCTTATGAGCTTTGAACATTGTAATTTTTGCTATTCCAATGAATAAACAGTTAACTCAACAATTGTCAAACTGTTGTCAGTTTCCTTGGTAACCTCTTCACTGATTTGACCATAGATTTGACATATAGAAAGGACGCGTCATTATTAAAACCATTTTTCAATTACCTCGTGTCATTTTGAGACGTCACCAGGAAGTTAAAATTTTGAAACTAATGGAACATATCCTTATTCGTCTATGTGACTCACTGCTGTCAAAACCGTAATATTACTGTTTTTTTTTCAGTAAAAACGTGGTTCATTTCAACCCCTTACCAGTTACCGTACGCATTTAAACGGTAATGAAGATATTTTGAAAAATTGATATATAAAATATCCAAAACTGAAATTTTATTTATTTGAGAATTCTATTCCACTTTTTATTTCTGCGGCGAAATATGCATCCTACCGACATTGATTCGAGAATTTACCATTCGGTATTTTATTGTGAATTGAAATGAGTTCGCAAAAATTTGAATGTTATGGTGTCATTATTTCGAAAGTTTTCTGATCGGTGCTTCTAGGTTTTTGTATTTGTACTGAAAAATTCGGTACTCAAATATGTAAAACTCCAGTCTTAGCGACTCACATTCTGGTACATTAATTATTTCCATAGATAATGGAGTCGAAAGCATAGTTTCGTCTCATACTCTTGCGTCTGAGTTTTTCAAATTGCTT